GATACAATTGACTGAGTTTACCATCGTATTTGACAATCCTCTTGCCTAACCTACATCCATCCTACGAGAGTATAAGAAGGACAGACTTTGAGTACTCTTTCTTACTACCTTTCCACACTTCCCGTACGTAACTATAAGCACACGACAATATCAAATGGATGGATCGTCTAGTATGGATGTTATATTATATTAGGTACCTAACCTAGGTAGTTACATAATATATTCTTCAACTCGCTTCGTCTCAAAGCACAACGACACTAACAAGACACAGCATCATCCCAATTCACGACACAAATAGAGTAAATCCAAACTTATATATCTATAGACATGCCTAGTAAATAATATGTATACGTATGTATATGTAGGCACCTAAGTATACCTAGGTAGGTAGGTAGTTATATCGATCTCGTAGTTAGATATTTCTTTCACTCCTTCCTTCCATCCTTCCCAATTTCAAACGGGGTATCATCATCACCAGCCCATACATGCACCTAGTAACCTATTCATACACGCGCGCACACGTTCCCGCCAAACAAATAAGCCGACGGCTCCGGCTCCGGCTCTGGCCCCGTATGCACATACCCCGTACCTCATAACACATAAGAAATTCCCGCTGTCTCGGATCGAAAGCAGTCACTAATCTGAGCAAACCATACGTCTCTCTTCATCCACTCACGCACCATATCTCCCCTAGTAACCAGCCCTCCTGTTGGTTGTGGCAGGAGAAGAAGAAACTGGCTTCCTAGCATACCCGTTCAACATCCTGAAGCCCGCACCACACGCACGCCCCTCCTCAACAACCTCATACACGCCATCGAGGCACTTTCCCGCCTCGCGCATTTCCGGTGCTTCCGTCTCGAGGAAGCCCAGGCGGCCTTCGGACGCCACCTTCTCCATCTCGCAGCGCAAGAGCCAGCGCTCCCATGCCCAACTACCCGCTAGTCCCGCGGTGGGGGCCGCCGCCTCCGTGCTGCCCAAGACCATAGCCTCGAGCTCGAGGGGGCGTTCGACACCAGTGCTATCGCGCGCGACTTTCCTGTTACGTCGGACGGCTGGGTCCGCGCCCATCGGCAGACACACCCACGCGCGACGCACCTGGTCGAAGCCGGCGCGGTGTAGGCGGCCGAGGAACATGCGCGTGGGGCTGGGGTCGTAGCCGAGGGTCTTGAGAGCGAAGCCGAACTCGACGCTCTTGGCGAGTCCTAGAGGGCCCGCGTTCGTGATGTCCGAGTCTAGGATGGAGAACTCGAGGTACCCGCCGGGCTTGAGAACGCGCATGCACTCGGCCAGACAGCTGTCCCACTCGTCCTCACCATTCTCGCCGATAAACTTGAGGATGGAGTGCAGCTCGCGCGCCGACACGAGGTCGAAGTGCGCATCGGGGAACGGCAGCTTGGCGAGCCGCGAGACGGCCACTTGTCGGTGATTAGGCGGGCCGCGGATGTTGGAGTTGGACAGCTGGCGGATGGCCTTGGTTGTTACCGTATAGACCTTGGTGTTCGGGTACATGATAGCGCAGTGCCAGGCCCAGTCGCAGGTAGCCTGGCCACCGAGGTCGAGGATGCGAGCACGGTCCCTAGCACCACCGATGCGGGAGAGACGAGCCAGACGCTTGGCGATAGGCGCGGAAAATAGACGGCCTCCGTTCAAAGCCTTGGTAGCGCCGACGTGCCAGTTTGCCATGGACATCTGGGCCCACGCCTCGTGCTCCTTGTCCTTCTTGAGCTTCTCGGGGTCGTCGACGATAATATCGTCGCCGCGGGCCACGTTGGCGCTCATGCGCTTCTTGGCCGAGTGTGGCACTACGGATAATTGGTACTTGCCGAGGAGCTGGTTGCGGTGAACCTCACGTAGGGAGATGCGCTGGGCTTGTAGAGCCTCAAAGCGTGGGAGACGGTGAACAAAAGGATCCTGACTGCGGGAGCGGATAATGTAATCCTGGAAAGCCCGATAGTAGGCCGATTCCTGGCGAGCGATCTTAGGCGGTAGTGGTTTTGGAATGTTAGTCTTGACAACAATCTCGGAGAAGCGGACAGTCTTTTTCTTCTGTGCCGGGGATGCCACTTCATGTTCGGGTTCCTTCTTGGGCTCCTCAACCTGGGCAGGTTCCGCCTCCGCCTCCGCCTCCGCCTCCGCCTCCGCCTCCGCCTCAGACTCCGGCTTGAATTCTTCCTCTGGGAAAATACCCTTGAGGTAAGCCTTCTGGGCCATGAGCCATAATTCTGTTCGGTCCAGGTTGGACAAAGCAGCTTCTTGCTGTTTCTTAGCATATGCGGGATCGTAGGTTGCAACGATCTCCGTAGCAGTGATATCCTCATTAGGGCTGGAGGGCTCGATATGCGCGGCAAGAGGAGATAATGGGTCTCTTTGCTCAACGCGTCGTGCTGTAAGGACATCTTCGGCAAGGTCAGTCCTTGCCTCGACAACGCGCTCCAAGATAACTGGTCTTGCAGTTGGAATACCATCTGACATGGTACCCCTAATTTCTACAATCTGCTCCACCGGCACCGATGGAAGGGGTGCAACTGCAAACCTCTCGGGACGCGGAGGTGGGGGAGGTAGAACAGCGGCGGTAGGCAGAGTTGGAATACGAGGAGCAGGCTCATTCCATGGTGCTCTGTAGAACTGTTCCGCAGTAGTCGAGGTGGGGGGAGCAATGTCATCAGGTGTCATGGAGGGCAAATGCCAAGTGTGCCTTGTGTGGGGAGAAAGGCCAGAGAAAAAGTCCCCGGGCGAGGGAATATCGAGCCTCGTCAACCCATTGAGAGACTGCTGCTGTCGAGTCGAGAGGTATAGAGCTGGCCGAGACATAGCAGTGAGTAGGCGAGACGTCTGCTGTGACATTTCTGGCCTCCTCTCAGTGACCTCGATGACCTGCTCTGAGCGGTACTCGCCCTCGCCGTCTTCGCTCCCAGATAGCGCTTGCAGGGTAGCCAAGGCAGCGGGTTGTAATTGAACACCAGACCAATCTGCGCTATTGGTGTCGTCTTCTCCAATCACTGGCGTAGGCGGAGCAGAGAGGGCAGCCAACTGATCCGAACTTAAACTGCCGTCGAGAGACGGTGGTGCGGAGATAGTTGGCACCTCCTGAGATTGCTGAGCTTGCAGGTAGGACATCACAGCCGGCGACATCTCGACCTTGGGTGGTGGCGTCGGAGGTATTGGTGACAGGAACCTCTTGAACTCCAGCTTACCTGAAAAGTTCTTGACATCTTCGTCCTGCTGCGCCGGGATCACCAAAGGAGGAAGAGCCCGGTGCGAGGCTGACGAGGGAACTGAGGATCGCTTTAGCATTGTATTACGAGAGCTGTTCCGGCGCTTCACCGATGACATTCTTGAAACTCGTCGAGTGTTTTCTTCGTCAGAGACTTCGTAGATATCGTCAAACTCTGTAACATCAGTACTTATGCTAGCTCGGTTCCAGGGGTCCGACGAAGATATCGACGGAGAGATGCTCTCCTCAGCGGATGTAGCCGACGGAGATTCAGGCAGTATCGGGGCTGATAAGAAGTGAAAGCCTCGCGGAGTCGGAAAGTGGTCACTTCGGGGTGATAGCCATTGTACTATCTTCTCGTTGGACGAACCGACTTGATATTTACCCCGACCCCTCGACGTCCTCTTCTGTGACCCCTCCGAATCCTCCTCCATTATTGTATTAAGTGACCTCCCCGGTCTTCGTGCCAGCGAAGGGGAGGGGGGTTGTGGTTGTTGGTATGTGCTAGACGGTAAAAGGACTAGCTCAGGCATCTTGTGTTTAAAAATAATACTAGTAAGATTCTTAAAAGAAGAAGAAAATAGATGGAACTATATTGGGTCAAATGCAATAACGGTAAGATATATTGAAAATAACGCTCAGCGTTGTTGAAAGTGAAGTGTAATTAAAGAAATATACTTTAACGACAGGGACACTTCGATCAACGAAGCGATATGAAATGAGGCAACCTCAAGGAAGCTTGAGAAGAAGAGAATAAGAGAAACAAGGCCTACCAAATGTTGTTTGGGCGAGAGTAGTTTTATGACTCTGACCTCGGAGATGGGCAAGCGGCTATCGTGCGGAGAGAAGCAGCACGAAGAAAGTGAGCGCTTCCAGCCCAGTGGTTTGCTATGCTGGTGGACGGGGAACTGCCCATCACCTGCATAGCCTTGGGCCTGTTTAGGTATGAATGTGTGGTAGCTGTGCCGAAAGAAGACTCGTAGTCTCGTTGGGCGACGTCAGTCCAGAGGTTGTATCGGTCGAACTGCCTGCACCAACAACCAATTGAGACTGGTAGACAACGGCTAGCGGTGATATAATTTTAGAACACCCAGCAACACAAGCCAATAGTCCGACTGGCGCGCGGGAGTGTAGGACAGAGAAGGTCGATGATTGGCAAAACATTGCGGACTTCCAGACCAATGGGGCAAAGGTTACGCTGACTGAGCGCTTAACCGCCCAGCACCATTTGTGAGGTTCCGTGATTGGTTGAACCATGGCCGTGGTGAGATTGATCCAAACTTCCAGAACCCAATAAATATAATAGCGGAAGTAAAAGAACGTCATCTAGTTATCTTGTTCAAATAGTGGTAGGAGTCATCCGTGGTGAACGGGTTGCTTAGTATTAAGATATATAATCGACTGGTGAGTTATACCGTAGGACGAATAAGTAATTGATTTGCCATATACTACCTAAGACGTAGACTTACCGTAGAACGGAGCAGTCAGAATAATCTTTTAATTAATGCTGATATTGTATAAGCTTAATAGCCGTTTGGATTGTTTTAAAGGCGACGAGCCGGACAGCTGCGATATCGTGATACAAAGGGAAGAAACACCATAAGACTTGATGGACTTGACTAATCTTTCCAAGTGACAAAGTGACGAGTGGCATAAAATTTAACTGTGGCGCCCACTCGACAAGGCAGGTACCTAGGTACTTAAAACTGTGGCTTGCAACAAAGTTCCCCTCCAAATTTCCATTGGACGCAGCTAGTGGACCTCCAACCAGTCAGCCTTTTCGCGCCGTGCTCGCGGCGCTTTTATGTATTTAAAAAAAAACCCCTCGAAACGCATAAACGCAAAACTACCTACCTACCCCACCAACCCACCCACGATAAAACCCAGCCTAGTATGTACCTAAGGTAGTTACCACCTATTACATACATACATACATAGGTACCTGACATACCTCCTAAGGCTAGGTAGCGACCTGTCGAACGAACCCCGCGCTCCAGTCCAGAATCAACAACCAGAAATCCGATCCCCTTGTTTAGCCAAACAACAAAACAGAATCTCTTAGCACTCGATCTCGACGAAACATTTTGCGTCTCTCCTTTTTCAGCCTACCTACCCCTCCTCCTCCTCCTCCCTAATCGCCACCTATATACAAAAAACCCTAGGTAGGCAAGTAGTTCGGGGAATGGCAGATACAGAACAGGCAGAAGGGCCCAGCGAGCCCCAGGGTCGCCACGTGATATACTGCGGCGGTAAGTCAAACAAACAAAGACAACAACAATGCCCACCCCACTCGCTAGGTCCCCAGAACAGCTGTAAACTGACCCTGTCCTGCTGCTATTCTAGTCTGCACCTTACCGCCAGAGGTACGATATTCCCTATTCATAGACCAGCTCCGCGAATAGAATTCGACAAAATAGACGTCATAGACAAGTGTAATGGGAAATGTACTGATCGTCGAATAAGTAGTACTGCGAATATGGCGGCACCGTCAAGAAATGCCAGGACTGGCTGCAGAAAGCCCACCCGAGCCTATACGAGCGTATATGGTCTCCAGGTACGCAGCACCCCCGAAACACCCCCTATCCCCATAGACAGGTACCCTCTCTCCTAGGCTGGACAAACCCACTAACGCCAGCTCTCCCTCCGTCCCGCAGAAGCCCTAGAAGCAGCCACGGCATCGCTCTCCGTCGAGGCGCAGAAGCGCGCCGCCAAGGACGCGCAGAAGAAAGCCGCGCAGGCCGAGAAGGCGGAGCAGAAGCAAGCGGACAAGATCGCCAACAGCGTGATAACAATCAAGCGGGTCGAGCGCAACAAGCGCAAATTCGTAACCGCCGTGTCCGGGCTCGAGGCGTTTGGTCTCGACCTGAAGAAAGTCGCCAAGGAATTCGGCAAGAAATTCGCCACGGGCTCCTCCGTGACCAAGGTGCCCAGCGGCGGCGAGGAGATCGTCGTGCAGGGCGACGTGTCGGACGAGATCGAAGAGTTCCTGCTAGAAAAGTACAAGGACATCCCCGAGGACAACATCGAGCTCGTCGACGATAAGAAAAAGAAGGGCTCAGCTGCCGCTACCGCCGGCTAGAAGCACATGCTCGTCTTGTCCAAGCTTACGAAGTGGGGGCGTAAGAAGAAGAAATCAAAGGGGACAAGATATTGGGAGGAAGACGAGGAAATCTTTTAGATAAAAACGCCAGCAAGGTTCTCATTGGGACCTGACTTAATCCATACCCCCCTCCTGTGCAGTGCAGCGACAGAAAACAGAACCATAACGCCGAGCGAGATGCAATTAACACATTATAGTCATTTAATATCTAAGCTCTCTTCCTTAACGTCCTCCCTGTCCCCGTTCCAGAGGCAGCGGCTTTTGTTGCCGGAGGCTTTTTGGTTGTGGCTGATTTTATTGTGCCCATGACTGTTTTCTTGGCCGCGGGAGCTGTCGTCTTGGCTGCCCTCGAAGCGGTTGTCTTCTTGAGTACCGTCGTCGAACTGCCATTGCTCGACTCGCTTGTAGTACTAGCCTTCCGTCTCCCTCGCGTAGACGCTGCAGTCGGGGGACGTGATGGGACTGCGGCCTGTCGCGCACGTACAGATGCGTTGCCGTTAGCTGAGCTGGTCATCGATGAAGTAGTAGGTTTCCTTGTGACCGCAGGTCGTGATGCCTTCACCCTATCCGACATACTCGATATGATATTAGAAGAAGGCTTAGGCGGGGGTCCTTTCATAGGTGAAGCGGGCCTGCTGACTAGCGTCTTCATGGGAGATACTGCCGGGCGAGCGCGGGGTACTATTCGCGTGTTTGAAGATGTGGGCGATAGGATTTGTCCCGGTTGGATTGCAGCAGGCCTCTTCTTAGGGTTCTGAACATCGTCGCCTTGGTTCTCCTTATCTAGACCTAGTATTTCCTCGCTAGACAGTGTTAGTTAGCTAGAGAGAATAAACAAATTAAGTTCCTACCTTAGGCCCTTTGCAATGACTGCTGGAACTGGCTTTCGTGGGAGGGGTTTGGCTGACGCGCCATCCTTTGCAGGGACGGGTGGAGGTCTGGCTACATACGTTGACTTAGGTGGGCGAGGAGGTTGTTGTGGCTGTAGTGATTTGGAGAGGAGCTCGCCCATCTTCAGTTTTCGTAAGGCGGTGGGTATTCGGTTGACGCGCATCTCGACGCGTGATCGTAGATGTTGCGCTTGGATATTGTATTGGGCTCTTAGTCGTCTTGCACGTTCGGTAACTGCGATCAAAATTAGTTAAAAATCGAGGTTCTTCATTATTTGGCTTGGCGGCGCGTCCGTACTCTCTAGTTGGAGGTTGTCGATGAGAGCTTGCTTCTGCGCAAGGGATAGGCCCAACTTCCGCTTCTTGATCGGACTTCGCTCAGGCGAACATCTTATGGTGTGTATCTTTTGGCCCTTAATTGAACCTGTTATAGCCTCTGATTTTCTCTTTCGCGTCGCTTTGACCGGTGCCATTTTGTAGAATATTTGTGCCGAGTATTTTCGATGCGGGTTTGGTGAGTAAAAAATGCGGTAAAGTGTAAAGTGTGAATTTCTGGACGGACGCGTTGTTTCGTGTAGGGGTTTTTTGAATATGGGGTAGAATGGAGTACAAATGCAAGAATTCGGGTTGTGTTGATGATGAAACCAATGCTTGTGCAAGTAAACAAAAGAGAGGGATGTGGGGACATGCACTTGAGCGATGCGAGTAATGCAATTGGATAATCTGAAACTTAGTGGAGTGGATTATGTCATCTAAAATAGCAAGCAACTGGGAAGCAACGGGGAAGCATGGAACTTGGTCTAAGCTCTAATTCACTGTACCTTTGTACCCACCTAGGCTACACCTGCCTGACGTTTGTTCCGAAGAGCTTATCCTCCGATTCCAGCACTGAAGTTACGAAGGTACATACCTACTTAGCTGTAGTTGCATTCATCAACTTTTCTAACCGCCATCCAGCCTCGCAAACTTTACTTTACCCTCTAGATATCATAAGACAGGCCGGACCTCCATTACTTACACAACATCCTTGATACCAGTTTACCACCACAATACCACCACAATACCGCCAAAATGCCGTTGCAAGCTGTTATGATAGTCGTTGATAACAGCGAAAGCAGCCGCAATGGAGATTACCAGCCCTCTCGATTCGATGCTCAGGCCGATGCGATAAATATCATGTTCGAGAGCATCACCCAGTCCAACCCCGAATCCTCCGTCGGCCTGATGAGCATGGGGGGCAAGGGACCCGAGGTTCTGTCCACGCTGACGACAGAACGGGGCAAGCTGCTCGAAGGTCTTCACCGTACAAAGAAGAAGATCTCGGGCTCGTCCCACCTTGCAACCGGAATCCAGATCGCTAGTGTATGTGAAATCCTCGTTTGCAACTGCAACGGCAACGGACACATGTGTATGATGAGTTCTAAGCTAACGATTGGTTTCCGCCGCGATAGCTAGCATTGAAGCACCGACAGAACAAATCCCAACGCCAGCGCATCATCGTCTTCGTGTGCTCGCCCGTAGCCGATGACGAGAAAAGGCTCGTATCTCTTGCTAAGAAAATGAAAAAGGGCAACATCGACATCGACTTTGTCCTATTTGGCGATCTTGACGACGATGACGTACAGAAGAAGCTAGAGGCTTTCAACAGTACGGTTAAAACCAACGAGAACTCGCACCTTGTCGTCATCCCTCCTAGCGGCAAGCTTCTAAGCGACCAGCTGATAACTACCCCCATCCTGCTCGGAGAAGGAGCTGCCGGTGGTTCAGGTGGTATGGCCGAGGGTGGTGGCGACTTTGGCGATTTCGACTTCGACCCCAGCGCCGACCCCGAACTGGCTCTTGCTCTACGCATGAGTATGGAAGAGGAGAATGCAAGACAGGCCAAACAGGCCAAGGACGAGGCAGATGCTGCAAACAAGACGAGTCTGGAGGGAATACAGGAGGAGGGTGAGAACCAGCCTCTGCTAAACGAGCACGGCGAGCCTAGCGGAAGCGGGAGCGGATCTGCCGACAAGAAGAGCTCTAAGAAAGACGACGACGACGACAAGATGGACACGTCATAGACGAAGACCTGTTTGTCTGCAGTCTGTCGAATTCTCGCCGGCATGAGATCACGGAGTTTGTTGGACTTGTACAATAATAATAGACCAAAGGCCTGTAGCGATGAATTAGGCGGGGAATGATATTTCTGCCGCAAGAAGGCAGAGCGCATTTTCTAACCAATCAAGTTCCGGGCCGTAATGAAATCCAAGTCTGTTAACTCCAAACGCCATGCCATGATGCAAGTCTAGATAGGTAGCTAAGCCCTCCTAATTCCGCCCCGTCAAAGTCGCCAGATCCCTTCCCCCTATGCCTAAAGGTGAGCCCGTAATAGAAATGCGCAATATGTACCTAACTACTAGTACCTAGAGCCTCTGTATCACCGCGAGTTGTTAATCTCCCTGATATACGAGTTTAGCTTCCTGTCGAAGGTTTCGCAGCGGATAGGCATTTCCAGCTGGTAGAAGGGGTTCTTCATGACGTAGTCGGAGTACAAGTCGTAGATCTTGCGGATGGTGATGTCCACGTTGGTCTGCATCGTGTCCGTGAACAAGAGAAACTTGGTGCCTGTCAGGGTGTTGAAGCACTGCAGCCGGAAGTTCTCCGTCTCCATGACCTCGAGACCCGAGGGCGGATCCGGCCGGCTTGGTATCGGCACGCCGCCCGCGGTGAGTGCCGCTTGCTGCTGGTGTTGGGCGTGTATACGCCCCTTCAGCGGGTTGAGACGAGCCGTGATGGCGTGGACTCTGGTAACGAAGGCGAGTAAGTAAGTAAGTAATCTAATTCTGCTCATAACTGCCCAAGGCATTGCCGGGTGCTGCTAATGAGACGGGGGGACGTGTCTCACCCGTGGAAAGTACCAGCAAGTACGAGGTAGTCATTTGTACTCAGCTGGTTCAGGCCGTCCCCAAAGGTACGGTTATAGATGAGACCGCCGGCCTTGTTGATGACAATGAGAGCTAGCACGCCCCTATATATGAGTTAGCAGTAGTTCCATATTTTATTTTATTTTATTTTATTTTATTTTATGGTGGATTGAGGTTTGTTGCTTACATCGTATAGAGATAATTAATGAGGGTTTTGATTTAGTTGGATTTGGTCCGAGAGGTTCGAGTATGGTTGTTTCTTTGCTCATATTCTCATTCAGGAATATGTATGTATGTATTCATGGCCCCTTAGTATGTAGGTATTGGGTATAAGTTCTCATAGCACAGCACACTGTCACTTTCCCTAGGTTGCAGCTCTGACTAAGGTTAAGGTCTTGGGCGAGTCGCCAAACAAAGTCGAAATAACCGAAGTTTCTCCTAAGAGTCCCTGAGATGGATATGTAAGTACCCAAGTACCTATCTGAGCGTGCCGGAGCTAGACCAGATGTTCACAAGAAGCTTCCCCAAATTCTCCACAATTTAGCAGTCTTAGCACCTAACCTTGTTCATCGCAGGCTATGTACATACCAGGCTGCCAGGCTACCTACCTCCGTACAGCGCAGCTCAGAGCCGCATTATCTGACAGCTGACATTTCTTTCTTTTCTTTGTCGCATGTTCTATCGCATAACCATATCGCCGCCATACCATCTATCATATCAATCAATCAACCGACCGCGCGGGTTTGCGACCAGCAAAGAAGAAAACAACAATTACTAATTGCTTCCTTTTCCTTTCCTCTTCTTGCATCTATCCCTCCTCTCCCACCGTCGCCATCCTAATCCTACAAAGAAATACCTGGGACAAAATAAATACAATGTCCCATCCTCCCACGTCGCGGTCTAGAGCGCCACCCGCCGGCAACGAGGAGGCTACTACCGTCCTCAAGCTGGGCGAGTTCCAGGACGTCGACACCCTGACGTTGTCCGAAGCCTCCCTCGTCATCAACGCCCTAGTCGCCAAGCGCCGCAACGATCGCAAGAACGTCAACGAGACCGAGTAAGAAGATTCTGTCCTTGAAATTCCCCTGGGCAATTTTAGCTTAGTCCCGGGCGACGAGGGCAGGACTAACGTTTATTGTGTGTTTTTTTTCTCCAGGATGTTAACTAAGACTATCGATTACCTGGATACCTTCGCCCGCTTCAAGAAGAAGGAGAACGTCGAGGCCGTGGAGCGCTTGTTGAGCTCACATAAGGAGTTCCACAAGTTTGAGCGCGCGCAATTAGGTACGGTTTAGTTGTAGAGCCATGGCGGTGTTGATGAAGTAGGTGAACAGCAAAAAGCTAATCAGAGGGTCTACTCCTTTAGGATCGCTTTGCTGCGAGACGGCCGAGGAGGCTAAATACCTAATCCCCTCGATCACCGACAAGATCACGGACGAAGAGCTGCAAGAGCTGCTCAACGAGATCTACAAGCTGATGCCGCGATGATACCGCGATGATACCGCTCTATAAACCCGCGGTGCTCTAGCAAAGTGCCGTACCTCTTCTGCTCCTCATAACCGAACAGATAGATATACCGAACACACAACCCTCCACGCGAGGCATAATTCCAAGGTTGAGAAGCTGTGATAATGGATCCTAGGGGAGCAGAGACCGATCGATTTCTTGTCAGTTGGGCGTTTTCATTTGAATTAGACCAGGGGACCTGGCATTGCACTAAACGGCGTAGGATAAGGAAAAAGACTGGCAGAGACTGGCAGGCTTTCTTGATTTCTGTCATGTTCCATACCCCCAATAAGATCGGAAGATACAGGCAAAGACTAAATAAATAGCATTCGGTTGGGTTTGTCATGATTACTCTCTGGAATATCTTTGGTAACTATACTGTGATAGATTCTACCTTTTTTTTTTTTTTTTTTTAATTTGTAGGGCTTTTGTATTAGCAAAGATTGTAATATCTAATCGATACAGCAAATATAGCATTAAGAGGTAAAGCTGTCGTTCAGCATAGGTGATTGATGATCTGCAGAGAGTAATCCACTCGTATAAAGAGTTGGCAGGTCGGGTTGATGAAAAAGCAGCCTCACTCCTCCATAACATGGAGTAAATAAAAGGAGGCTAGAACAACCCGCCCCCTATTCAAGCCCTTGGGACAATACAACACGATCCATTCGACCAACTCCCTTAACCACCCATCACTCACTCACTCACTCACTCACTCACTCACTCACTCCATATACAGACGATTACACTACGACATCCAGCACAGAAACAAAGACCCAACATCACCACCAGAACACCTCGAAATAAAACATCAGCCCTGCCAATCCAATCCCATCCCACCCCATCCCTACGGCAACTCGCTCACCCCCCTAAAAACTCCAGCCCCGCCCCCCTGCCCCCGCCACGCCGGGTGGTCCATCATAAAGCGCTCCGGCTCGTCCGCATACGGGGAATTCGGCAGCGTCTCGGCAGCGACGCGCTTCGCGATGCGGCGGCGGCGGATAAGCAGCCCGGCGACGAGGAGCGCGGCCAGGGCGAATACGGTACTGCTTATGCATATGCCGGCTATGGCTGCTGTGGAGAGAGTTGGCGGTGGTGGTGGTGGTGGTGATGAGGTTGTGTCTGTCTGGACGGTGGGAGAAGGGGATGATAATGATAATGATAATGATAACGATAACGAGGATGGGGATGTAGGGGATGAGGACGGGGGAAGTAATGGCGGTAAGGGCGGTGGTGTGATTGCCCCTGTGGCGGAATCTGATGTTGTTGTTGTTGTTGCAGACGACTCTGGACTGCTGCCGGAGGTAATGGTCGAAGTAGACGTGATATCCAGCGTGACCGTCTGCGTCTGCGTCTGCGTCTTAATCCCGCCATCCGCCGGCGAGGCAGTACTCGTAACATCCTCTCCCCCCTCGGCATTCGACGGCAGCGCGTCCTCGGGACACCCCCCCGGGCTACACGCCTCGACGGCGCAGCATCCGACGAATCCGCCCTGGCAGCTGTAGAACACGAAGCCCGGGTCGCAGGTGCCAGGCTCCTCTATACCAGAGCCTCGCTTTCTTCTCTGCTCGCGGTCCATTCTGACTGTTGTGAGGTTGTGGCTGTAGGAGGCGAGGGAAAAGCTGCAGTTTAGGTACTCTCGTTGCTATGGTGCTCGCTGGGAGAGAACGTTAGGGGGCACCGTTGAACGAGTTTGATAGTGCGGCTCTGTCCAGACGTCCGCTTCTGGCAGCAGAGGGCATGTCGCTTAGTATCGATATATTAGAGATAGGTGAGGTTAGGTGGGTAGGTAGGTAGGTAGTTGATACCTAAGAAAGTAACTAATCGAAAATATAAATAGAGCCTCATAAGGAGGGGAGGGGGATAAAATATGAGAAGGATCTTGCGATGAAAAGCAAGTTTAAAAATATATCCACGGCTTAGGTAAATAATAAATATCCCTCAAGAACCCTAGGCTAGTTTATATCGGAACCCTTCGTGGTAGGTACCTATCAAGCAAGCCGGTTAGATCTGGATGTGTTTGCCTTGCCCTGCCTTGCCCTGCCCTGCCCTGCCCTGCCCTGTCCTGTCCCTAGATGAGATGTAGATACCTACCTCCTTATACATATCCCCCCCAGTTACGCCCTCTGCTGCATGCAAGTACCAGGTAACTCTTACTCGCCATGCGGGAAAGGAAAACCCTAACGTTTTGAGGCTGATATGACAGATCCATTATAAGTTGTATATTATAAGTTGTCTATTATCTTCCGCCGTGACACGGGATTCCAACTGTAAACTACATACCATCCCGACGCCTTATTCCCCGTGCAACCAGCTGTCAAGACTTTTCTCCTTTCTTCTTCTTCCAACAGTGTAACATATAATATGGATACCCATCCCATCCCTTCCACCCCCCCCCCCCCCTTCGTGAATGCAAACATGACAAAGAAAAGCTTCGGTAAGGGGCCAGGTTAATTAGATGAATATTTCGTTTGCCTCCGCTTTGATACCTACCTACCTACCTACCTACCTACCTACCTACCTACCTAATATATATCAGAAACACAAACCCCCCCTACCTGTCCTGCTCAGCCCAGACGGACAGCCGCATCTGATATTAGGCAGCTAGACAGTAAATACGGAAATTTATTTTAAAATAAAATAGACTATCGATTTTATTCCGGGGCCAGCTAGAAAGATACAGCGGCGGAGTTTGCCGAGTTACGTGGATACATATAACTATGGCATATCCATATAAGGGAGCCTTTAATATGTTAATACTTACAAATTGGCACTTGTCTTCGTGCTACTTTACTAGGTTAGGTAGCCCTCTACGTAGAATGCCTGTTACCTATAATGTGATATACGATGATGGAAATGAAGCAATAGAAATATCCTACGTCACGGAAGCTGCCCGCGAGAAGCCAGAATAAGTGCCCAGGAATCATAGGATAGAGTTTAATTTCTAGACGCTCCCAAGTTCTCATGGGTCGTCACGGATAGCTCAGTAAGAATTATCTCAAATCCGCACCTCATCGTCTGAAAACCGCTAGTCCCTGAGGCGAGTATCGTAAACGTATAACTTTACAATTCACATGGCCGTAAAGTGTCCAAAGTTCAGTTCGGAAACACAGTTGCTCAGTATTCGGTTCCATTTTTCGTAGCTATTTTGCTACGTGAGATGCAGATGAACCCCGGCGACTCCGTATTGAGACCCTAAAAGCAAAGAAACCATTTGTGTCCCGTCATGTCCGCCCGTTTAGACCTCTTCCGCGATGTTGCCCTTCTCGGAAACGTACATGCCGTCCAAGAACTAGACGTTTGTTAACATAAGCCGTATACTTAGTAGTTAATATTAATTGAACATACCTTTCGGATATCCTTGTTTCGAACTCGGCAGATCTGTTGGATGTCGGCGGCGCTCTGGGAAACATCCTCGAGCGAGTTGCCTAGGAGGAGCAGCTCATCCTTTTGGGCTGTGGAGATCTGGACATCGACGCCGGGCTGCATGACGACTCTTCGGACGAGCTTCTCACCGATGAAGTTTCTATCGTTCACAATCAGCTACTGTATCTTCTTAAAGACAACCCGTCGAGAAAGTGTGCTCAAACACAATCTATCCCTACGCGTTCGGACAGGCGCAAAACATACCGGATCTCGACCTCGAAGTTGCCAGTCTCGCTGTTCTTCTCGACGTTGACGTTGATGGGGAAATGGGCGTAGACGTAACGCATCTTGTACTTGAAGCCCTTGGTTACACCGATGACCAAGTTGTTGATCAGGGTTCGGACGGTTCGGAGCGTGGCGACGTCCTTTCGCGAGCCGTGGTGAATCTCAATGCCAATAACATTCTTCTTCGGTCGCGAGAAGTTAACCGCGATGTGGCTCAGGTCCTTGGAAAGCTTGCCTGTTTCTCTCCGTTAGATTTCCTTTGCGCCTCCAGGGTGGATATTCGCCATCGTTATGGCTGCAGATGGTATCGTACCTCGGGGGCCCTCGACTGTGACATTGCGGGACTTGATTTGGACCTTGACTATTTCGCAGGTCGCATGTTAGTATTCGTCTAATTGAATCGCAAAGTTCGAGATCCTCCAAGCAGCAAACACAAACACCCGAGCCAAAACTTCTTAATTCCTGGGCCGATGCTGCTAGCGCGGGTGAATCGGTTCGAAAACGTACCTCCCTCGGGAATCTCCAAGGTCTCGAGACTGTGGATGTATCGCATCTTGACGGTTCGGGTGACGGTATAGCGGGGGGAGAAATGGACCTGGAGAGATTGAAAACGTGAGTAAATTGCTAGATCCCAGATACCAGCAGATGCGGTGCTGATTGATTAAATGAAAAATAGAAAAGAATCAATCGTCAAAGGGTATCGGGCGCGGAGCTCTAACGTACCTGAATGTGATGTCGTCTTGAACGGGGAAAAAAGTCTCCAGAGCCAAAGTCAAAAATTCAATCAATTGAGGAAATTCGTTGTGCGGCCAGTCGCTAAGCTTAGATTGGGGTAAGTGCCAGGATTTTTAGTACAAGGTACTTTGCTAAGTTCGTTCCGTTAGGGCTACGGCAGCGGGGCTACGTCGTGGCTTCTTGCTGTGGCTGATGTGGCTTGATCTTTTAAATTCCATTGACAGCCAGCCCGAATGGGTACCTAGATACCTTAGGTATGGAACCTAGGTCCACCAATTTTCCGGTGAGGCTGAAGCTGAAGCTCGAGCCACATGAATTGACGAATGAAATGTGGGGTTGCAAGGCAGGAGAATAGGTATGTAATATGTACCTACCTAAGGTTAAGTGCTTCAACAAACTCGCAAGCATACGACAACTTCCAACGGCCCAATCCCCCCCCCCCCCTCTCCCCCCCTCCGCACTCGAAAACCCGCCCCCCAATATGTCGTACTTCTTCGCCACGCCGGTCGACATCGACATAGTGCTCGAAGACAGCGATGACCGCCAAGTGGTGGACATACGGGAGAAGCAGCGCCGCGAGAAGGCGCCGCTGTACATGGACGGGGAGTCCGTCAAGGGCCAAGTCACCGTGCGCCCCAAGGACGGCAAGCGCCTGGAGCACACCGGCATCAAGGTCCAGTTCATCGGCACCATAGAGATGTTCTTCGACCGCGGCAACCACTACGAGTTCCTCTCCCTCAACCAGGAGCTCGCCGCCCCCGGCGAGCTGCAGCACCCCCAGACCTTCGACTTCAACTTCAAGAACGTCGAGAAGCAGTACGAGTCCTACAACGGCATCAACGTCAAGCTGCGCTACTTCGTCCGCGTCACCGTCGCCCGCCGCATGGCCGACGTCATCCGCGAGAAGGACCTCTGGGTCTACAGCTACCGCGTGCCCCCCGAGATGAACTCCTCCATCAAGATGGACGTCGGCATCGAGGACTGCCTACACATCGAGTTCGAATACTCAAAGTCCAAGTACCACCTGAAGGACGTCATAGTCGGCCGTATATACTTCCTGCTCGTCCGCCTCAAGATCAAGCACATGGAGCTCAGTATTATCCGGAGGGAGACTACCGGCGCCGCACCCAACCAGTACAACGAGAGCGAGACCCTCGTGCGCTTCGAGGTGAGCCCCCCCTTTCCCTATCTTCCCCCCTTACTCTTACAATACACAACCCACCCAACACCAACACCAGACCAACCAACCGACCAACTAACCGACCCCCCTTCCATAGATAATGGACGGCTCCCCTTCCCGCGGCGAAACCATCCCCATCCGGCTATTCCTAGGCGGCTTCGACCTAACACCTACCTTCCGGGACGTGAACAAGAAGTTCTCCACGCGGTACTACCTAAGCCTAGTCCTCATCGACGAGGACGCCCGCCGCTACTTCAAGCAGTCGGAAATAATCCTCTACCGACAAGCCCCCGGCGACGCCGTCGAGTCCCAAGGCGTCGTCTCCGTGCCCGAGTCCACCCGCCCCATGCCCTTAGCCGCCCAAGCGTAGCATAAAACTAGGTTAGGAGTGTGATCTTGCTGTTGTTGTTATTGTTTTACTGCCTATCATTACAATTACGGCTATTTACAAAGTTAACTTGCCATGTTGCCGTCACGTTAAACCCTAATTCTCTGTACATTCTTATTATTACTACTACTACTACTACCTACTCACTCACCCCCCGCGAGGTCGAGCATTGACGGCACGGCGTTTAAGTGGTCTTTGGTCTTTGATAGTTGGCATCATGTGATTGAGACAGAAAGAGCCAAGGCGTTATGTTGCTCATGAGGGTTATAATAGTTCAATCAATCAAATCAGTCAATTCATCCGTCAATCCATTACAACCTGCGTTTTACCTATTCCTGTCGCGAAGTTCTGTTGGGGCTGGGGTGGGAGGCCTGAGGTCTATATCTGAAAGCTCAGGAGGTATCATCTAGTAAAAACACCCTATGTTGTACATTTGCGCTCATTCTTTATTATCCTCACGTCACAGGATCTCCATCTCGTCATCCGCCGTGAACCCAAACTGGTCGTTGTGGATCGCAGCAATACGGTCGAGCTCGTCCTGGTATTCCTTGCGAATGTCGGCCAACGTAACCACCTTGCGCTTAGAGAGGCTGTCTCGTTCGCCGAGCTTAATCGGGCGCGGTGGCCCCTCGGTCGTAATCCATGCCTGCTTTGAATCCACGCAGCTTAGGACGTTGATCAGCATTAGATACTGCCTCGTCACGGCCGTATCTAGAATATCTTCACCCGTAACTTGATCGCCTTCTCCGAGCTGCCTAAGCTTTTGGATGCGATCAAGTAGGATTGCGGCGGCACCGCGGTAGTCGTTTCGCTTGATGCGCCAAGCATAGAGGATCTGGTGATATGGCACGCCGGTGATAACGTCTACCGTGTCTCGGCAGTGTTGCGCAAGTATGTCGTCGACGGCAGCTTGTAGGCCCGGGAATGTAAGGTTGACTAGTTCTGAGTTGTGGAGGTTATCACACATTCTCTGGATAAGCGCCTGTAAGCATGAATGCTGCAAAGCATGATCCTTTATCGCCACGATCGTCGAGTGTGCCAACTCAAATTGCGAAGTGGATAGAGCACCGCTAAAGAGACGTAATTGTATTTCTGTTCGGACCTTGCCAGCATCTTCGGTGTTCGCGTTTACGAACTGGAGAGCGAGACGAGCAAAATCGATAACGAACGAATAAGCCTTCTGGTGCTCATAGAGAGCTACTATGTGGGCATAATATCGTGGTAATCCTGCAAAGAGTAGGTTCCATTCTGTCTCATCAAGGAGACCACTGCTGTGCCTTTCGGGGTTTGCCTGAGGTAGACCTATATAAACCGTCAGTTGAAAATGATTCTCAAGCCCCATCGATGACTACTCACTCATGCCATATGCGGCTCTCTTAAAATACGTTGCTGCTGTCGTAAAGTCCTTCAGGGCAAGATGTACACGCCCTTGCACGTAGGTCGAGAAGGGGTCCTGTTCGCAGAATGGACTTAACTCAATAGCAAGATCCGCCCTATCTCTAATAAGCAGACCACACTGAATGTATTGAGGCTGTAGCTCCACGTTACTAGCGGGAGCACAGAGGTCTGCAGCGATGTGCGTGATTATTGAGGGTACTCCTCTCGAGGGTAATGCTCCCGGTTCGGGGATTCCGAGAAGATGTCCCACATTACCCTCGAGCGCGGTGAGAATTCTATACTCTTCAGCCTGTCGCTTCGGGGCTACGGGGGAAGTGTCAGATACGGAATTCGATCTGTCTGCTCTCGAAAGTGATGTTGTCAGCTGGGTATTGACGAGCCATCGAAGGAGTTCGAGTCGTTTGAGTATAATAAGCAAGTTTCTGTATATCACACCAACCTCAACGCGGTTGTGGAGAGCATCTTCGGGACGATCGAATTCGAATTCCATGTGGACGAGGAGGATCAGCTGGCTAAAGCTGACGTTCCATTGTACCTCGACTAGGTCTTGAGTTGCTTTAACGACGACTTTTCGCCCAAATTCCGTTAGGGGAAGCTCAGTAGGATGTGGAGAATTCCAACATTCGTTACACGTCGCAAGCACTCTATCGCATAACTGCGTTGTTACTACGTTGAAGTTTGGACCAAGCGCATCAGTCACCTGGGTGGCGTCTTCGTCGGAGATTTGGCGCCAAAACCCTGTCTTGTCTGAGACGAACTGGAGTCGTTCTTGATCTGATTTGGACGACTCTTCTAGCATCTCTGGACGGATAACAGAATGGCATATCTGCAACATGCTGTCCGAAAAGCCTTCGACGAAATTGGTACCAGAGATGACAAGAGTTGGAACCTCATTCGACCCGTCATACTCTATTTGCGGATTGTGACATATATGCTCCAGCTTGCTGCATTCTCTGATAGCAGAGATGCTGTCGGCGCATACGATCCATGGCATTCCCGACTCCCCATCGTAAGAAAATGATAAGGCTTCACCTCTAGGTTTGTCTAACTCGAGTAAAATTCTGTAGAATTTCCGCCACTGCATCTCACTCGAGGTCCTAAACTGTTCATGATCCATGTCACCTGACGATGACTTATTAAGGGACGAGGTCGAGGCGATAGCGGAGCAAATCGACTCGGCGAGGCCTATGCCATTGCGAGACGAGACGTTACTCTGTCTTCCAATCGCTCCCTCGTAAGCGCTGAGCGCAGCCTCCACAGTTGCCCTGGGGAATCTTCCGGGGAAGAATATCAGCTGTAGCCATTTTTCTGTAGGGTCTGTGGAATCGGATGGGCCAGATAATGGTGCGGTCGGTATAGCAGTATCAGCGTATACGGATCGCCAACGGTCCTGCCAGACTTCGACGAGCTCATCTACTAAGAATGTCAACTCTTGAACCCGGTACGCCATATTATTCTTCCATAAAAGCCACATTCTGTATACTCCGGATGATGAATGTTCCGCTACAGTGAAATCCGCGAGAGTCCAGACATCCGAGCCAAGAGGAGGATTAGGCACCAACGCATAGTCGGGATAGAGATCATCCGCATCAACGGAGTTGGCATTATCGGACCTCAGCATCCAAAACTTAAACTCCCCAGGACCGACGGGAGAATACGTTACGAGCAGACGTTTTCCCTCGGTGGTGCCCACGATACGGATCAGGTTCGCCTGCGTTGCATCTATCTGCCACTTGCCCGTCTCTTGGGGGTCTCTGTCGGAATTAAGTAAGTCTACAGCTCCGAGGATCTGTCCGCTATTAAGATTCCAAATTCGTAGTCGATGGTCGAGGCAGACTGTGAAAAGGAACGAGGCACTGTTAAGCCCTAGATCCGTGTGAACTGCAGCTGCCGCAGCCTTGATGTCTAGATCTCCGCGACCTCCTAACAAACTTCGTAACCAGCCCTTGGCATTATAAAACGTCTCTTTCCAGGGCGAGTGGATGGCTAGAAACAATGTTAAGTATACAACATGCAAACAGAATGGGTACCAAACAAACCATTATGCCCCGTATTTCTATCAAAACGTATATGACCGCCATCGGAGAGAGTCGCGACTAGTTGATCATTATCGACTGCAACTAGTCTGTATGGATGTTTGAAGTTGCGGAACGCATTGGGCTGGTAAATTTTGCAGGCGTCTCCAAGTCCGGTTTCGACAAACCAACGCTTGCGGAAAGAGTCTGGCCTCAAGAAGAGAGTATATAGCTGGCTGGCAGTATCGAGGATAAAGATACTAAGCGCATCGTGGTCCGGAGGATCGCAAAGAGCAACGCAGCTGGGTATAATAGGGTGCTGGAAGTGGAAGTTGAGGATGAGGTTTGCGTCGGCAGCTTTCTTCGGTTTATAGAGATCGACGGTTCGGATGCTCAAAACGGTATCGCCTTCAAGTACTCGCCAAAGGAACCCTTTGGGGGAGCTATGGTGTTTTCGGTAGTATATGGCAGAGGTCGTAGCTCGAGAAGCATCTTTCTTAGCGATGGCGTTGGCTGATCTGCTGGCACGCTGGCTCCGTCCCTGGGAACTGGTGGTAGGGAGCTCGACATCAACAATGTACGAGCTTGATGATGGCTCCAAGTTCAGGCGCGTTTCCTTGTAGGAATACACAGCGGCCGCCATGCTGAATGCGACACCCTCGGAGGAAAATCGATGTCGTCAAGATAGGTAAGGTATGTTTTATGAATGACGCGCGCAACGGGGAATTCAGAGCTTCAAAACAAATTGAAGAAGTTACTGGCCGAGCTGGAGCTTATCGATAAGTTGGTAGTTGCTCAGTGTTAAGGTTATGAGTGGCACGGTACACATCAATGATAGGTTGTGACCTTTCCGCAATGTACCTCATATGTACCTCCTACATCTCTGCCCCACCGATTTCATAGGTAGGTGCTGCGTTAACGATACCGGTTGCTGAGAGCTATGTACATATGTACCTGTTTCTGTGGGGACCGCCTGCCTGTAGCCAACAGTGGATACATTCCAACTAAACACTAAATCCGAGAGTTAAATTGATAAATTACTCACGTGCTTCCGCGATTTCCATTTGTTTTCTCGCCACATTTCGCGTTTTACGCGTTTATGAAGTTTTCTCGGTCCAAGTCTACCCCCGTCTTCTCTTTTATATTCGGTTTAGTTGACTACTTATAATTCGCAAATATGGCAGACGAATACGAGGATGGAGCGGAGGAGAGTAGTGGCGTGACTGGCCCTGGGGCTCCAACGCCTATCTTTGCTCTAGAGGTAAGATACGGTTATACGGCTGGCTCTAAGAGACGCAATATCGTATTTGTACCGACTAACCTTACAATAGGGTCTTTCAGGCTTGACAAAGCGTGACTGTCAGCTTTTGGCTGATGGGGGTTATCAAACTGTCGAGGCAGTTGCTTACACACCAAGACGTGCCTTAGAGCAGGTTAAAGGTATATCAGAACAAAAGGCACAGAAGGTTCTTGGAGAAGGTAAATTTTCTATATTCCCGGATGATTATATCTCGCAAACTCATCTAACACTTATCAGCATCCAAATTGGTTCCCATGGGCTTCACAACCGCTACAGAGATGCATCAGCGGAGAAGCGAGCTGATTTCTATCACTACGGGATCGAAGAACCTAGACACTCTACTGGCCGGTGGTGTCGAGACCGGCTCGGTAACAGAGCTCTTCGGCGAGTTCCGTACCGGAAAAAGTCAGATCTGCCATACGCTCGCCGTCACGTGCCAACTGCCCTTCGACATGGGCGGCGGCGAAGGCAAATGTCTATACATCGACACAGAAGGCACATTTAGACCAGTACGACTCCTTGCCGTAGCCAATCGTTACGGCCTATCTGGCGAGGAAGTTCTCGACAACGTCGCCTACGCGCGGGCCTACAACTCAGATCACCAGCTGCAACTGCTAACCCAAGCCGCCACGATGATGTGCGAGACCCGGTTTTCCCTGCTCATCGTAGACAGCGCCACTTCCCTCTACCGAACAGACTTTCTCGGTCGAGGAGAGCTCTCCTCTCGACAGACCCACTTGGCCAAGTTCATGCGCACGCTACAAAGGCTAGCGGACGAATTCGGCATCGCCGTCGTCATCACCAACCAGGTCGTAGCGCAAGTCGACGGTGGCCCATCCTCAATGTTCAACCCGGACCCCAAGAAGCCGATCGGCGGCAACATCATCGCGCACGCCAGCACCACGCGAGTCAGTCTGAAGAAGGGCCGCGCTGAGACCCGTATCGCCAAGATTTACGACAGCCCCTGCTTGCCGGAAAGCGATTGTCTGTTTGCGATCAAAGAGGACGGCATTGGGGACCCGGCGCCCAAGGATATGGATAAGGAGTAATGTTGTGTTAGTAGCTAGGCCGGCCGCCCTAATGTTAACAGGACGGGGCGGTCCTTAGTGTAGGCACCGTTTTGAGGGGAACGAAGGAAATGACTACGGGATATGACTGACTGGGCTTCTATATAAGCGGCATGCATGGCTTTGGCGTTTCGAAAGGGGATAACTGCATGCTTGGAGCTTATTTCTTCCTTCTTCTTTTTTTTATGCTTTATTCCGTAGCATTGTATTTCAAGGTTGGCTGGCAGCCTTAGATGTCAGGTAGCTTTACTCTATGTAATACAATACACACTCGATCAAAGTAAGAATATCCTCCATAATGACTATGACTAGCTTTCCAACGGTCTAGCCTAGCACTAGCAGCCTCGACCCGCCAACCAGGAATGCTATGGTAGATCTAGCAGGGGTGGCGATCCAGCTCGTGGTTAGCGCTGCGATGAGCTGACGGCGGACGCCCATCTGACCAGAGCGTCAGGTCAGTTCTGTATGTAATGTACTAGGCTATGTCTTTATATATACCTATATATATATACGTACAGTTGAGAACCTAGAGCAAGCAGTGGCCAATTCCCTCTTGCTTTTTTAAACCTTTATTTCGAGTAACTTAACCTAGATGGTTATCTAAGTTCTAGTCGACGGCCTTCGATCGACAGAATGCGGAGCGCCTAGTGTAGGTATGAAAAGTGGACGACACCCCTTTTCTAGATGAAATTCACTTACTCATTCAAGTGAAGGATATCAAATTCCCCTACATATGCTACGTTTCGTTTCACTGTCATACATCTATGTAACCAAGCGCTTTGCATTAATTATACGCGAGGTAACTATCATAACGCTAGCGCAGCAACGGATATCCTCTTCCCTTCCAACATTGGGTATACAAAAAAGGTTTCGGATTCAAAGTCAATTACATACTCCCCCAGATTATTTTCTTACCCTGTCCCTGTCCTACTCTTCCCCTCCTTGTATAAACCAACGCCGATATGAATGCCGGTATCCCCCCCGTTTTTCCTCCATGCAACTACCCTAGGTTCGCTTGAGCAAAAATCTATCTACATTCTTGTCGTGTGTAACGTGTTATTGACGCTCGAGCAACAATGTTCGAGGAACAGCGCTTGTGTGTGCAGTGTCAACATCAGCAGCATCATGGTCTCCTTTCTATTCTACGCCCTTTGTGTACACTGATTTATCACGTTGGCGACGGTGGCTCCCTTAACGACCGATCACGGGTCTTCCTCTGAAGCTTATTATTATGATGCCTCTTAGGTTGGCTCTCGTCTGTCTCGGTTTGGCTGTCAGGTCGGCCGAAGGTCCCGGCTGGTAACACCTCAAACCCCGCGTTAACCCTTCTGGTTGATGTGTTTGCGTGTGACTCGCCAGAGTAGGACCGATGAGGTGTCGGTCTATTTGAAGCTAGCGGGGGACGAGAAATTGATTGCGCCTCAGAAGACGAGGGTGTTTCGAAAGGATTCCTCCTCTGCTCAGGATGCGAGAACCAGTCCACGGTAGCCGCCGAAGGTTCTGGATCTTCGAGGGAAACTAGGGTCCTGGGTGCAGGCAACGCGAAGTGCCGGAGGTGAGAGACATAACGTGTCTGTGCATGGCGGATACCTTCTTCCGAAGAAGTCGAGCTGCGGTCTACCACTGTCCTTTGTTGGGAAGACAGCGATGACGATTCCGTGCTAGAGAAGGAGTGTTTGGGGACATAAGTTTCGACTTGCTGATGGTTAACCGTGTTACGTTCATATCGGTTTAATCCGTCCACGTCGAAAGTTTCGGTAATATCCGTTCGACGGCGCGATGGACCCCTTGGTCGGTAAGTAGACTGCGCACCGAGAGAGATTGTTCTGGCATGGCTGTGTTCAGCGGCGGTCGGGACGCGTCGATCAGACAAGCTAACGGCAGGGCTCGGTAGCGGACTTTGTTCGGGGGTGGGTTCAAATTCGACGACAGTCGTTGCTGTATGCACGGCAAGTTCCTTCTCCTTTCCTTTTAACCTGCTTTCGGGTTCGAGGGTTGACGAAGAAGCGAATGACGGACTGGTTGGAGTAATGAGTGGAGTATTAGGCCGTGAGATCCAGATGCCATCAACTTCGATACCGCTCTGAATCGCGCGCACGCCGAATGGAATGTCCACCTTCTTGCCTATCGGAAGACCGCTCCTTTGCATCTCCTGTTGCCTAGCCTTTTTTTCTAGGTCAAGTATTGTATGCTTCTTGATAAATCTATTCAACCACCACAACTTAATTAATCCAGCAAAGAATACTAAGACGATCGCACCGGCGAGGACCTTTACTTTGGTATTAGCGAGATAGAGGAATAGGGGTTACGAAGTAAGCAACTTACGAAGGTCATCTGCTGCCATAATTCCCAGTTGACAAAAAACTTGATCATTTTGAGATGCTTAGGATAGATGATGCCCAAGTCAAATTATCCAAAGCAGAAAAAAAACGAATGATCGATGATGTGATCCAATTACGCCGACGAGGGGCAGAGGAGGGAAACGAATGTTCAAATACTGGGATGAAGAAGAACGAAAGGAATAGGTAGTATGATGTAAGGAGGAGCGAGCGTTAGTGAAGCGCCGAAAGAATGTTTAGGTCGACCAGAAGTACATCTACATGTACATTCAAACTCAAATCCAATCGACGTTTTCTCTTTCCAGGCGGAGGGGAGGTACGGGTCAGGCCCCTTAATGCGGTTTAAATAAGGAGGGAAGGAAGGAAGTCGTAATCGAGGTCAGCGCGCTTTCCCGACAAATTAACTTTGTTATTTTTAAGTCCGGTAGGTACGAATTTCGTCGTTTCAATTTTCTTGATCTTGATCTTGATCTTACTTCGTGATATCCGAAGACAAGTAACCGAAAGGATTGTTACAAAGCTAGTTGATCATAAGGTTCGCGCGGAAATGACCGTTAAAACCAGTTCCACTAGCTGTGCGCCCGCAACGGAATACGAGGAGACTTTTTCGACGTTGTGTACCGTCGATATTATGATAACTCCGGGACGAATGAGAACCTCCTATAGATGGACGCAGCTGAAGATCGCAGGGCGGAAGAGCTGAACGTGGACGGAAGTGCCCACCTGATGTCGATCACCCTTTGCAACGTTTCCTGGGCTGGTGCAGGAGAAGGGTCGATAGTTGAGGTAACCTTACGACGAGGACTGGCCGATATATCTCGAGGATAGGCCTATGTAAATGCCTTACACAGTCTTCCCCCTTCTTCACACTCGAAGCCGGATGGCCGTGGGAGTTGCGAATAGACTTCCCGAACTTACGAACGTGAGGCTAACTATAGGACCGAGACCTAGTATATTAATTGGAGGTGCTCGTCCAGTGGTGTTCCAGCCAGAGGTAGTTGAATATAGCCGGTATAGAACAACGCGCGTTCTTAGACCAGGGGACAGAATCGGCGGATCCAGAGCACGCAGCGCAAGAGGCAAAACGAGTACACGATGAATAGGTATACCTAACAGACGGTAGAAAGGATCGATAATTTTTTATCATCTTACTTGCAGGCGGTCAAACGGAGGGCGCTTCTACGGATATAAAACTTTATGGTTACTCCGCAGGTCAGATACGGCACTACGGATACCAGCAGCATAATTCATCGATATTTTGACAGAAGGCACAGGTTCCCGCTAACACTTGCATATAAACATTGCTATCTGCTATCTTTGGAACAAGACTAGAGCTGTGCTTTGACAATTATTGGGGGTAATTTGTCTTAGCAAACGTGATGGCGTATCGATGCAACACGCCTCAAACGTACGTGCTAGTGGCGTGTGAAAGACATCGTGGATACCTGGGTTGCCTGGGCATTCAATACAGTTCGAGTCCAGCGTCTACGACGAACTCCGTGGCCCTAGGTGGCATGGAAAACCTAGCAATCCGGTTTTAGCTTGCATCATTGATCTAGACGCAAATCCATTTTTTACGACGTCCTGTGCAACAAGATGGGCCGGTAGAAGCCAGTTGAACCTTTGCGCGCCTATCTGAGAGCACGGTGTTGGTTGGCTGATCACATTACGGTGCCAGCGTATCACCAGCAGCTGCAGGTCGCCGGTGAGCACCCTAGCAGACTGCCTAGGGGAAAGGCGTTGAATTATTTAACCGGAAGCGAAGTTCTAGCACGGCCCACGGTCCAGGACAAAGTCGAAATGGATCGATAGATACTAAATAAATAAAGCATACGTACCCCCTGCGCAAGTTGCTAGCAGCGATCAATTTACACAATGAAACCATATTGTTTTGGGTATTGTATTGAAGCAACGGTTTTTTTTTTCTTCCTCTCCCTAACTTCAGACTTCAGTCAATCTCGATTCAATTATCCCTTGCAGACGAACCGGCATTGGTGGTATGTAAGAATACGAAGTCTACGGGCATTAGCGTCGACTTGGCGATGTTGGTTGTGTTGGCAAAAACCCCAGCTGAGAACGCATATGTAAGTTCTAATAGACTCTGATCTAGCATCATCGCAGGGGCGTATGTATTTGACAACCCGATCGGGCGGACCTGACGTTTTGGTGATGGAACCAAATTTTTCTTTGTCGGATGGCTTGCGTATAAGCCGGGATACCCACGCCGATCCCCGCCTATAAAAAAAATTAAGTCTAAGTCATAAGGTTAAAAATATCGTAGCACAAAGTGGAAAGGTCGAATGGGCGAGAAGTTATTAGCCAATAAGATCTATTCGGCGTGGTTGCTCAGAAATCAATATACATAAAGTGGTACTATGTATACTACCTATGTGCGTTCCCGCATCCGGCAAAATGGTAACTTTGGGTAGCTGAAATACGGCTCGCCTTTCCGGGATGAGGGTAACATACATATGTAGCAATTCTCCCTAGATATTCTACTCCGCCTATATAAGTCTAGGTGCTATTAAGTGCGGGATATTTTCATGCCGCAAAGCTGCGAGATCGATTCTGGAAGCTCGATCTCTTATACATATTCCATTGAGGGATTCAAGGATCAAGTGCCGCATCTACGAACTAGATCCTGGCGCAAGATGCTGGCCGCCGGTAACACACGTAAGCAGATGATTGATTATCTAATTACTTATATGGATATGGTATTATATGGGTATGGTATGTATTCATTCTAAGACTGAGGCTCAAATAGTCAAGTCTTCGTTCAATATCGAAGCCACGCACACCAAGACTCTTGGTGTCTTAGGTGCCGATAGATCTATATAGCCTCTAGAGATCCCGTTGACTAGGCGCGTTGAGATTAATTATCCCAAGACCAATTAGTCTCACTGTCTATTCTTTACTACCTATATTACGCAGTATATATACCCGCATTTCATTTTCTTTCCATTGTATAATGCTTAGCTGACATCAGAGCCGCCGAATGTTGCGGAATACATATAAGGCAAGTAGATCATCTCACTTGCATTACAAGGCTATACCAATGAGCGAATTATAAACCAAGCAAGATTATAACATGACTTACATGACTTTAAGAATTTTATCTGATATGACCAAGACTGCAACTTATACGTAAGATAAACCGTAATTCAATGTGGCCTCTTTTATCGCATATTTAGGCTAGTTAGATGCAAAAACGCTATGCATTTATACCGAGCCCGATCTCCAGCCGAGACTACTAAAGAGTCACTACATCCGGTGTGTGGAAGAATTAGTCATGTCATTGGCAAAATAGAAAATTTTGATGTGAAATCTGTCTTCACAGGAATCGAGAAATAATGGCTTCAAACGATGATCATATCCTCACGCTGTCCTGCCCGGACAAGCCTGGCATCGTCCACGCCGTCACTGGGCTATTGGCAAACCACGGTCTCAACATCCTAGACTTACAGCAATTCTCAGACCGGACGTCTCAGAAGTTTTTCATGAGAGTCCGTTTTGGCCATGCTGAGTCAACGGCTAACTTAGACGAGCCTATGGCGAAGCTCGCGGCGGAAATGAAGATGGACCAGTACGACTTACGGTCGACGAGCCAAAAGCCTAGAGTCTTGATCATGGTGTCAAAGATTGGACACTGCCTGAACGACCTGTTATTCAGGGCCAAGTCAAACCAGCTGGGCATCGAGATCCCCTTAATAGTGTCCAACCATCCGGACTTCAAGCCCTTAGCCGAGAGCTACGGCATTGCATTCCACCATCTCCCCGTGACCAAGGAGACGAAGCTGGAGCAGGAACGCCAGATCCTAGACCTGATCAAACAGGAAAACATCGACCTGGTGGTGCTAGCGCGCTACATGCAGGTGCTAAGCCCGGGGTTGTGCTCGGCGATGAGCGGCAAGATCATCAACATCCACCACAGCTTCCTGCCGTCGTTCAAGGGGGCGAAGCCGTACCACCAGGCCTACGAGCGCGGCGTCAAGATCATCGGTGCCACGGCGCACTTCGTCACGGCGGACCTGGACGAGGGCCCGATTATCGAGCAGAGAGTCGCGCGCGTCAACCACAGCATGAGCCCCAAGGAGTTGGTCGAGGAGGGAAGCAATGTCGAGAGCCAAGTCTTGGCTGCGGCTGTCAAGTGGTGGAGCGAGAAGCGCGTGTTTTTGAACGGACATAAGACCGTGGTCTTTAACTAGGTAGCGATGAGTTCACGAAACGACAAGATGTTACCGCTGTATATATGATCTAGCATCGGCATTTCAAACGCTTCATAAGTTCATGTATATACATAGTAGCGTGTGTTCGGAGTCAAGTACCGGACCAATATCGGCATCCTCGCTTTCTTAGAGTTGGAAGCTAACGTGAACGTGAACTTGTGAAGCGCTTCGTTCCACATTTATTAGACGATGGAACGATGGAAGTATTTAAATGGCTGAGTAATAAATTCAAGACTCATTGAACAGGGACAAGGACAAAGAGATAAGGTTTTGGGTCAGGTCCCCGGATTCCGGCAACAATATGTGGGCTATATGCGGGAATCCGTTATCGATTTATGGCGACATAGCATGTGACCCGGAGATAAGGAAGCCAATTGACTAGCCTAACCTACATTCTTTCTACCATGGTTTTTCTATTGTTCTTGTTATTAGGAACGGCACATACCTACCTAGGACCTAGGTGCGGCAGGCTTTGTGTTTTCTCAGCCTATTAGTATAACATCATCCAGCCAAGTTGAACTAGATGTTTAGTGCTTATACGGAGGTTTGCGGGTGGCAAATAGAAGAAGTGTTGGATGCGGCCGAGACTGTCGGTTGATCCCATTAAAGAAAAGCCATAAGCATCGCCATCTGTAGATCTTCCCAAAGGAATCTTACCTCTATTACCTAGGTCCGTATGTCATTGTAGAGCTTCGGGTACCTCGGCAGGCCGTTGGGTCCTTTTCATAATAAGAGGTGTGCATAGGTAGATAGCCCAAAGAATGCTAAAGTGGTTACTAGATCGGGATGCTGATCAATACCCCGTTGCTGCAAGAAGGGACCAAAAAGCATAGAGAGCAAATGGATGATGCAGGTCCTGTCGGATAGAGTCAGCCAAGAATAGGTACAAGTTGAAGAAAAACTGGAATGGATTGCAGGTTGTTGCAGGTTATTGTACCTAGGTTAGGTTGTTGTAAGCCCGAGGAACAGGGAAGACGGGGATGCCCCACAAACCATTCCAAAAGACGTAGTCCACGTAAACGACCTGAATAGTTGTACCCATACGATCGTCATTCTAATTTTTAAACTAAATTCAACCTTGGCCAAGTTTTTTGGTTCTTAGAGGACGAAGAGGGGGAAAAAAGAGTATAGTTGGACATGGCTATAGTCGCGAGTAATGTTTTAAATTAGAAAGGTACCTAGGTACATAATCTAACCTATGTACCTCTATATGTATGTAGGTGTAGGTTAGTTAGGTACTTAAGAAAAGACTCAACTCGCACAAAAAGTCCCCACCGTCCACCGTCCACCGCCCACTGCCCACCTAGCATCGCCTATCCGGCATCCGGGTCCTTTCCTGTTTCCGTCGCTTATGAAAATCCCTGGTCGTACGGTTTAAAGTACATACATAGTAACCTAGTCAAGTAATCTAAAGTTAGGAAAGGTCCGACCCGGTTTGTACCTACTTACTATTCCCGCGGTTCCAATTCCACTCCATCAAATCCCAATCGCGATCAATCTTAATCGTCAATCAACACTTACACAACCTTCCTACTTTTCCTTACTTGCACCGTTCAAATCTGCTTAATGCGTCTTGACTAGATTGCCTCGAATCAATTTAACTACTATCGCTTTTTATTTAGCGCAACGATATCCCCGACAATGCCAATCCGTAACCCATTCGCGAGACGTCCCGGCGTGCTCAACCTCGAGATCAAGGATGAGAACGTCCGGCCCGGCGCGCTGGTCTCCCCGCAAGCCGGATTCGAGAAGGTCGATATAATTGGCTCCAAGGCGTCTTCCTCTTTGAGCATCCGGAGCAACAAGAGTCGGGACAACGGAGATTACAAGATGAGCGGTATGCCCTGCGCCTTGGAACCTTGCGCCCGGGAGAACATAGCCTGACTTTCAATTGTGTAGTAGTAAACGATAGCGGAGTCTATCTCCCGGTATGAATTAATCTCCCGTGCAAGAAGAAAAAAGTATTCCGGTCGCTAATTAATATCTTAGCCTTCGCCAACGGAAGACAAGGCTCTGTGGCCGAGACGTTCGGCTGCGTCCCGAACATCCATGGACACCCGCAGTAGCTTTGGCGATATTGAACACTTCTCTATTTCTCGCGAATCTTTCGATTCTTACCGCCGATCCTTTGTATGTCGCATTTCTACTTGCTGTGTCTTTATACTCTCAACTAACTGCATCTGAAGGACATTTCTGCTAGGTCACCAGTCATGACCCACGATCAACAGCGCCAAAGCCTTGATTCCGCCCGGTTTCCTCGATCGCCGAGGATCTCTGTCAGAAACCGTCCCTGGGATCCGCCGACCGCCGAGGAGGGGTTCGAGGACGTCGGACTAAACGATGATCAGAAGCAACAGCCGAAGAAGAGGGGATTCTTTGCCAAGTTTTCCGAGTCGCAAGAATCTCCAGTGCATACACAAGGACTGGGAATGTCTCGGTTTATCCCCGGGCGCAAAAGAGCGCAAAGCGGTCAAGGGTCAGAATTGGGCAACATTGAGCGACCCAAATCCCGACAGTCGATTGAAGAGCAAGAGATGCAGTAATGACCGGTACGAATGAATGAGATCAACACAACATGCATAGATTTACGGCGTTTAGGTGGTATAGGAAGGGCATTATGATATCTAAGCGGTCGCTTGCCCCTTGTTCAGTGATTTCAGGTTTAGTCGCTCGCTTCCACTATACCGGGATACCAGGTTCATAGGTGATCAGGAACAAGAGGCAGATAGAACAGTTGAAGCCGAGAAATGCGGACGGCCATGGGAGAAAAGGGGTAATGAGTTACAATGGTAATGGTATGGTATGGTATGTTATACATCTGATATGAAGAATAAGATATCAGCTCGTAATGGCTTAAATACGATATAATGTTTTGCCTGGAATCGCGCATGATTTATTTCTTGTCAAAACGTGAATATACTTGAGATACAGTAAGCAGGTATTATTCAATAAGAGAGGTTAGACGCATCCCCGCCAACCCCACGTCAACGATTAAACACAATCTGATAAGACTAAAATATTTGGTCTTATCGGTAGGTTAATCAGTATTATCGATTAATTTTCATCGAAACAACCTACGATCTACGACCTACATTCGTTTCAATTGTGAGCGCAGCAGCTCAGCTTTAAATTTTCTGGACCTTATTTTTCTAAGGTCTTCAACCGTTGTTATCTCATATCATGGCGCCAAGGCGACCGGATAGGAAATCAAGAAAACGAGACAAGGCGGCGATATCCAGGGCAGCAGGCGGCGCTTCTAAACCCGTCACTCCAGAGGTTCTAGTCAAGGCGGCCGAATACCAATTACAAGCGGGCAATGTACAAGATGCCCTTACGCTAGCAGAGAAAGCGCTGGAGCAATCATCCACAGGCTCGGATGACGAGCTATCCGCGTTAAACCTGCTCGGACAGATCAACCTCGAGGCAGGCGAATTCGAGGCAGCGCGGGCGTACTTCCTCCAGGCCGTCGCGATCGACGCGGACGGCGCTAAAGACGAAGCTTTTGGAGGCGGGCCAGAGAAATTCCTATGTCTGGCGCAGCTGAGCGAGGAGGGCGGACAGGACAGCGTCACGTGGTTCGAGAAGGGCGCCGCGGCGCTCAGGAAGCAGATCCAGACTCTGGAAGACGCGCGACGGAAAACCGACGAGCAGACTATCCTGTCAGACGAGCTCAAGAAGAAATTGGCCATGACGCTGTGCTCCGTTGCCGAGGTCTACATGACGGATCTCTCGTGGGAGGAGGACGCCGAGCAGAGATGCGAGACCCTGGTTACGGAGGCGACGATGGTGGCGCCGGATTTCGCCGAGACTTGGCAGACTTTGGCCAACGTGCGCATTTCCCAGGAGAGGTTCGACGATGCGAAGGCCGCGCTGACGAGGAGCCTGGAGCTGTGGAAGGATTTGCCGCCTGAAGACCCTGCGGTGCCGGATTTCCCGAGTAGAGTCGCGCTTGCGAGATTGCTTATGGAGGTCGAGATGGAGCAGGAGGCTATCGAAGTCCTCGAGCGCCTGGTTAGCGAGGACGACCAGAGCGTCGAGGTCTGGTATCTAGGTGGTTGGGGTCTCTACGTTATGGGCGAGAAGCAGAAGACGGGTAAGGCGAGCGAGGAGGACTGGAAGGCGTCGTGGATATCGAGTCGCGTGTGGCTCAACCAGTGCCAACATCTATATAAACTTCAAGACTACGAGGACGAGCGGTTAGGGGAGCACGCGCGGGAATTACTGAGTCTTATTGCCAAGGAGCTTGGTGAGGCGCCGGCCGGCGAGGGCGAAGATGAGGACTGGGAGGACGAGGACGAGGGGAGCGATGAGGAGATGAAGGACTGATTAGGTTTATCGGCGGCAGCGAAAGATGGAAGGGAGGAATGGGAACGTTTGATACTATAGATGGAAGATACCACGAGATCTGAGGATCTTGTTTTGGCATGGATGGCGTTAGGGAATCCAAAAAAAAAAAAAAGGGGCGGGTGATGCTTTCATCATGTCATGTCATGTCATGTTCATAAATGAGGCGATTCTCTGATATTTTTTCTTTCCACCAAAGCTTTCTTTTTCCTGATTTGCGCCAAACCCATGCGTGATGCTCACCATAGTCCCGGGATGGTAATACTGCATCATCCGCATATCTAGGTACCTTATTTATTCATGCCTCAATCTTGAGCTTCTCAACTTGCTCGACGGGGATGCTCTCGTCGTCCTCGTCAATCTTACCCACCAACCCGCGCTCCCAGAGCTGCTTGCCCGTCAACCTCACCGGCTCTTTCACCTTGGCCTTCTTCAGCTCCGCGAGCTTCTCCTCCTCCTCCCGCCGCTGCTTCTCCTCCATCTCCCTGACGAAGCCGTCGCGCCACGCGAGAAACGTCTCGGGCGTCACGGGCGTGCCGTGGAACTTCTTGTTCTCCTCGCGCTCGGCGGCCAGCATGGCCTCCTCGTGCACCTGGGCGGCGGCGGCGCGCCGCTCCGCGATCAGCTGCTCGGCTTGTTCCTTGAGCGTCGTCACCAGCGTGAACACCATCGCCATGCCCATGTTCTCCTGGATCGCGTCCCCGAGCCCGCTTAGCAGCTGCGCCTTGTCCGAGGCGACGGAGAAGTGCGGGTGCGGGGGGGCGGCGTTGTTTTGCGGCGGCGAGAGGTCGAGGATGGGCGCCTCGTCGGGGTAGTCGTCTGGGTACCGCACGTGCAGGACGAGGGTGGGGGGCTCGTCTGTTTCGTCATCGTTGGTGTCGTCGGGGAGGTCGAGTTTTATGGATATGCGGTACTCGGTCTCGGATATGTCTTTATTATTTTTTTTACTATGTCAATTCATTGATGATGATGATGATGATGATGATGATGATGATGATGAGGATCAGGATGGCGGCGGGGTAGATTGTAGATTGTAGATTGTATAGCATAGAGAATTGTGAGGGTTGAAAAAGTCAAAAGTCACGGACCTGTGATTTCATCTGGGAAGATGGAGTCGAGAACCTCGCGTTCTTCGACTTGTTCTTCTCGGCCCATGGTGGCGCATCTATTTACAAGATGGGACTTCTATAAAAAGGTTCATGGTTTTTATGGTTTAGATTATTCTATAAGCACATAGTCCATGTACCGGCGTAATCCCACCACCGGCTTGCCGTCTTGCATTACCTACTAGTAGCGTCAAATTTAGGTGGGGCCGCGGGGTGAAAGTTGGACAATTGCGCCTTCACCGCCCGGCATTATAGGGGATCCACTAAATATTTTTTAGTTCTGGGATTCGCAGACTTGGATAAAAGTACTGCATGATAACTTATAAGTACTGCATGCAAGGTTATTGCCATTGAACGACCTGCTGTAAACTTGACCTGTTCTAAACTCCTCACAATGGCACCCAAAGGTGATGCGCTCGGAAGCAAAAGGAAGCTTACCAATGGCAGCAAAGAACATTCGAGCAAGAAGCCCAAGTTCGATAAGAAACCGTCGCGGAAACAGGAGCCGGAAGATGATGTTAGCGACGACAGCGAGATCAGCGAATTTTCGGACCGAGAAGATGGCGGTGCGGCTTTGAACAATGTGGATTCGCAGCAGAATGACGATATACCGTTTCGGTCAAAACCTGATGGCAATCAACCTGGGAACACCTTTGAAAAAGGTCAGTCGAAGCGAGAGTGTTCTTCCGAAGATTGCTAACTCCATACACGCAGGTCAAAACTCGCGCGAATCGCACATAAAGCAGAAGCAATTGGCTCAAGAGCGCAAGGCAGCAAAGCCCCTGGCCGATGAATTGCAACGGACAAAGAAGCTCTGGGAGAGACTACGGTTGAAATCCAAAGTCCCGAAAGATGAACGGCAAAAACTCGTCGAGGAGCTCTTTAGCATTGCTACAGGTCGTATGAAGGACTTTGTGCTCAAGCATGATTCCGTCCGTGTCGTACAGACCGCTATCAAGTATGCGACCCCTGAACGGCGGAAGATGATCGCGAAGGAGCTGAGGGGTGCATATCCTATACTGGCCGAAAGCAAGTATGCCAAATTCTTAATTGGCAAGCTTCTTGTGAAAGGCGATGACGAGATCCGAGATATGATAGTCCCGGAATTCTACGGCAGAGTTAGGAAACTTATCAACCACCCTGAAGCTTCTTGGATCCTGGATGATATTTACCGAGGCGTTGCTACCAAGGAGCAGAAGGCCATTCTATTAAGAGAATGGTATGGGCCAGAGTTCCACATCTTCCGAGCTACATTGGAGGATGAGACCGTCCCCACGGCCGAACTTTCTCAAATCCTTGCGGAACAGCCAAGTAAACGGGGGCCGATCATGAAATATCTGCTCGACCTAACCAACCAGCTTATCCAAAAGAAGATGACTGGGTTTACGATGCTACACGATGCCATGTATCAATACTACGTCAATGCGAAGCCAGGCACCGAGGAAGCTAAAGAATACATGGAAATGATCAAAGAAGACGAGAACGGCGACCTACTCAAGAACATGGCTTTCACGAAATCGGGTGCTCGACTTGTGTGCTTGCTTCTTGCTCATGGGTCAGCTAAGGACCGAAAACAGATCCTGAAGACATATAAAGATACTTTCCAACTTATGTCGAGCGATCCGCACGGACACTTGATCATTCTCGCCGCTTACGATCTGATTGACGACACCGTCTTAACTTCTAAGTCCATCATAACGGAATTACTGGGCAAGACAGAACAAAATGAAGTTTCTAATATTGTGATCGCCGCCAATGATCCGAATGCCCGCTTAACTATACGATACCCGCTTGAGGGTGCGTCTAAGGTACTCTTCGATGCTGGTCGCGCCGACGACCTGAAACTCCTCGAGGAGCTGTGGGAGATTCGAAAGACAACAAGTAAGAAGGACCCCGAGATCCGTCGAAAAGAATTGGTCACAGCATTATCACCACAACTACTTTCTGCGATTGCTTCATCACCACTAGATTTAATATCTACTTCCCATGGGTCCCAGTTGGTTACCGAAGCCCTACTTTCCTGCATCGGAGACAAATCCGAGGCTTTACAAGCAATAGCATCAACCGCAAAGGGAAACCCCAACGAGGCAGATGCACCAGCCGATGAATCCGAAACCGAACTCATCCCCGTGGAGCACATATCCAAAGCCCCCCACGGCGGACGCATGTTCAAGACCCTGATAGCAGGCGGCCATTTTGACAAAGCGACCCGGTGCATAATACCCGTAGACCCGCCCCTCCACTTCGCAGATATCCTGTACCCCTTCATCAAAGACCACATCATGGCGTGGGCCACAGGCCCAAGCTCGTTCGTCGTGCTCAGCCTCCTAGAAGCAGAAGACTTCTCGAGTAAAAGCGAGCTGAAAAGCACGCTGAAGAAAAATAAAAAGGCCCTCGAGAAAGCGGCGACGGAGGAGACGCCGGAGCAGAAGGCGGCTAAGGAGGTGGGTGTCGAGGAGAAAAAGAAAAAGAAGGGGAAGAAGGCTGGGACGAAAAAGGAGCCGGCTGTGGGGAATATGGGGTCTAAGTTGCTGTTGGAGAAGTTGGAGGGTTAGAGGCTGGGGACTCCTTCGAGGCGTGTTAGGGGGTTTGTAAATGTGTGAATGTGAGATTTTGGGGTTCGAAAGTGCTGCTTACCTGGGTATGTGCTTTTATGAGATGATTGGTGGTTGTGACATGCCGTCCGTATCAAGGCTGTTGATTGCTTCACGGGTTGTGTAGCCAGGACGTAGTCACTTTATGAAAGGTATTGATGGTATGGCTGGCTAACTGCACTCGTTCAACGTCCTTGTTATCCTGAAATCTCACTATATCCTCCACCTCCCCCCCCTGTTCTCAACGTTCCGCTACCCAGCTCTAGACATCATATTCTTTTCGTCTGCGGATATTGAGACTACCTACCTACCTACCTACCTACCTACCTAGGTTAGGTATGAAGCACCCATTCCTAGACTTAGGTACCTGTTTACATTATCGTAAAGATAGGAGCTACAATCTCAACGATATAATCTAGCATGGCTACGGGAAATAACCCCATGGGTCTCCAACGCGCCAGGTCGAGGCTATAGCTCCATAAGTGTCTAACCGTAGTATCTAGTTCTTAGCAGCGTAACACTTTACCTACCCAAGTCAACTAAACTGCCTTACCATAAGCGCTGTTCTTAAATAACCCAATATAAGACGTAGTGCGCACAGATTTGAGGACTTGGAATAGGTCGGCACGCTTAACCTCTATCATGAGTTCGCAGGGATTTTGCTAGGGATATCTTGGAAATATATGAGCTGGTTACGGGAAAGGGAACAATGAAAATGGAACAGACGGAGCAACTATATAGGAATAAAGAGGAGATATACTATACTCCACTGCTTCCTAGTTCTCCCCCCCTTACTGACTGAAGCTCATAATTGAAACCCGCCATAATAGGCTACGCAAAATAAGTGTTCATCTCCTCCAGAAACTGACATGGTGCTAAAGCCACAATAGAGGGTCAATGCAAAGTCTTTGGATCTCATCTCATCTCAATTAGAGAGTCTTGGGAAACCACCCCTGAGGCACCGCATGCCCATTCATAACTATCTAGACATACATTCATTCCGTCCATACATCTCATTCCCAGGCAAGCTCCCCTAGCTTTCTCGCACCAAGCCTGCCTAGCCCACCCTCGAGATACGTCCTCATTATCTGTTTCATATGTACAAAGTTTCAGAGGCTCATCTCAACCCCCCAGTTCGCATCCATTTTCCATTTGTAGACGTAGGTTGTTCGTTTTTCATTTCATCTTCCAGTTGGTCTCATTGCAACCCTTCGTCAATTAGTCTAAGTAGGAAAACATCTCCGCATTCCGAAACGCCGCTTTAGTGATGTGTAGGTATAGGTAGGGGTATTCGTGGTATGTATGTATGTATGTATGTCGGTGTGAATGAAAAAAGAATCTCGCGACGAAGGGGATTATAAACTCAATTTCGAACGGGTAGGAAAAGGATTCGTAAAAATACAGGCTGGAGTCGGTCGTTTAGCTTCTTCGAGAGGGCCCCCGAGAAGGCCCCCGAGAGGCTCGTGAAGGTCTTGAAGCTCTCGTTCCTCTCGAGTTTCTAGAACGTCGCGTATCGCGTGTTCTCCTATCCGAGCTTAAACTGCCTATAGAAGAAATGGTCAGTAAACTCCCAATCGGAGTTTATCTTTTGGGGATAAACTCACTTGGGCTGCTTGCAGTATAAGAGTCGGTATAGTACGAACTGCTAAAGTCGCTTTCGCCTCGTGGCGGTTTCTCCCTGCTAGTCCTGCGCTGCTTGTCGCTTCTCCTCAGGCCTAGAAGTAGCGCCGTTGCGCCTAGGCCGGCGGCCAGCCAGCCCGCTCCGCCTCCCGACTTCTCTTTTCTAGCGGCGGCCGACGTGGGTCGACCTCCACCACCTCCGCCCCCGAACCAAGTCCGGTGAACTGGTCGTGTTGCACCTGCACCTGCGCCTCCGGCATATGTGCTACCGTGTCTGCTTCCGCGCCTCGAGTATCCTTCTTCGATGATCTCGATTCGTTCCGTCTCTCGCTTCTTCTTGCCTCCGCCAAAAAGGCCGGCGAACGTACCCCAGAGGCCTCTGACGATGCAGCAGAAACATAGCAGCAGCAGTAGGATTACACCAGCAATAGTACCAACAACGATACCGGCAATTGCACCTCCGCTCAACGAACCGCTCGTGGTTGCGACGGGAGCCGGTACGGCTGTAGCCGAAGCAGTTTCGCTGGCTACGGTGCCGGTAGTAGTAGTCGGTGCGGTGGTCTCTATAACGGTGCTACCACTAGTAACCCTATAAGGAGCCGAGTACTGAGTAGTGACGACGCCGACGGTAGTCCATTTAGTCCAGGAACCGCCACCGTTTGCCAAACATTGGCCGTCGTAGGCGCAGTACTGCCAATTCGCGCAGCAAATGGGGCCACAGGCGATCTGCCCTGATCCTTCGGGTGGTACACAGGGCTCGCCGGTCCCTCCTGCTGGTGCGGTCGAGTCGCCTAGGAATGAGCTGATAGTGCTAGTGTAGGTTCTCGTCTCGGTCCAGGTAGTGGTGTAAGCAACGGCATCCTTTGCAACGGCAGCTTGAGGATACGGGTGAGCGATGACGAGGGGAAGGAGTAATGAGAGAAGAAGTGGTTGATATTGGTTGAGTCGCATTTTGATCAAACTCAGTCCAAATATGGACGAGACCCGAGAATATTGGAATGCGGAATGCGGGATGAGGTAAGTGGCCGAGTTTGAGACAAACTCTCTCTCTCTCTCTCTCTCTCTCTCTCTCTCACCGACGCCGCCTATTATGTCAGTTATCTTCCTTTTCCTCCTCCAAAAACTGAAATCTGATTAATATAAATGGTTAAGCGAGGAATGTAGTCTAGTGAAGACAAGACTTACATTTCCAAATGTCTTGGGCTTTATCGGTTTGTTCCACCAAACTAATTAGTGCAGCTGTTCAAGATAACACCGACAGTTGGTGTCGAGAACAACCACGTAGAGACCGGGAAAAAAGAAAAGTATGAGGAGGGAGGAGAAAAGATGAGAAAGTAAAAGGAAGAGAGAAATCGGGACCAAGATTTCTAGCTTCTTTCCTTAACGCATCCTCTTTACAGGTGGGTTGCAACTTCCCAACCTCCTCCGGTACGGGTACGAGGAAGGTGACGGCCAAAAAAAAGGCTGCGAACTGGGAAATACCGCGGGGCTGGTGGTGCCTACTGCCTACTTGCTCCGGCGCAAGAATTGGGAAAGATGAAAACAGAGGGGGTTGGAAACAGACAGGGGTCCCGAATCTGAAATCCGATGTCAAATCATCTGCTCTTTTATGAGAAAACCCAGAAATAAGATAGTAATCATTCATTAAATGACCCGAAAATAATATTTGTATCTGTCATCTAGTCCTATCTTTCTTCTTCCCAATTGAACCGTTTCTTTCCTCGAATGATGCGACTTAAATAAGGCATGGTTTTCTATCGCAATATGCAAGATGACCAAGTATAGACGCGATGGTGAGTTGGCAGATATCCATGTACGAAGTTCTAGTGCGACTTAGTGTACCTAAGGTATTGACGTTGGTCCGTGCCCGTTGTAACAGCGACAATCGATTACGCCCAGCTAGGTACTTGACCCGATAAGTAATCTGACAAGGGTATTTTAGCCTATCAGTGAGCTTGGATGGAGTCGCCCAGTCCTTATCACCCCACTTCACTCCACTTCACCTACGAATGTCGCAGTCTTAAGGTGTGCAGGGTCTTGGAAATTCCCCTTCAGTTGGTTAACTGCTGGTCCACGTCCCTGGGTTAGCTCGTCACCGAAGGTCTTGAGTAGTATGGAAGAGATCCCATTGCTTGGAAGATGGGCGTCACCGCTGAAGCCTTACTTCTAAACACGAACTGCTTTCTATGGATATACCCCACGATCTACGTACATACATGCTGCTCACATGTAGCCCCTGACATTAAACCTATTTTGCTTGAAAGGCGGTTGTACGTTGTAAGAGGAGAAATATGCAATTCCCACAAGATGGACCCTTATCATGCTGCACATATAAGGAGAAATGTTGGAATGTTATCGATGATGCAATTCTTGTTCGTCGGAGTAAATTGCCGAGATCGATTTTATATCAACAACTTTAGATGTCGTAAAGACCCTAACCTAGGCCATCTTATTTTTGGTTAGAGCACAGGTAATTATTTGCCAATCTTCGGACAATTTCTTATCAGTTTCGATTTGAGCGTTATCTCTTCCGCCACGACCTTTTTTTCTTAGTCATCATCTATCACGTCTTCGACATCCAAGTACCTGTTATTTATCATAAGATATTATCATTATTATTATTATTATCCCCAGATGTTCATCTTCTCTCTAGAGGAAAATGCAAAAGACCAGTAGCCATGGCATCACCATTCTCAGCCCCATCTCGCAAAGGTGATGCATGGTTCTACGTCGGCCTGACCTCTTCTTTCTCTGATATCACCGACTCGGGCAGTATTGTTCTATCTGAACCCCGTTCTTGCGCAGAGCAGAACTCAGCCCCTGGTTGCAAGGTCTTCCACGTGCCTGCTAGTGACAGCTCTCAGGCCCGTCAGATTGAGGGCGACTCAATATTCCGTCCCGAGGGAGGTCTGCGGGACCAAGTACTTGTGTTTAAATACAAGGGCAAAGTCCATGCTATCAACAACGTGAGTTATAATACCTATACTTGACTGTGTATGTTTTATAGAGATACCATGTTGTGTGAGAAGGTGGTGACCAATGGTTGGACTAGCGGTGTCCACATTCATCGTATCCTCTGTCTGAGGGTACTCCGTTCGATATCGAGGACTTTGGCATCGCATTGAGTACTGGGATTACCTGCCCGAAGCACGGCTGGTCTTTTGATTTGTTCTCTGGGAGAGCAGACCGTGCCAACTATAAATTGGGGATATGGGAAGTCCAACTACGCCCCAGTTCTGGTACACAGAACACAGCAGGCAGTGAGAAAGATGGAGACGACCAAGAGGTGTGGGTAAGGAGGAAGCAGAGGATGGGATAGCATAATACTCTGAAAGACACTCCACCGATATTTATATTGGCGGGAATCACCACAGCCATAGGGAATGTTAAGCAACACGTTGCCAAACTCGAGTAGTAGTATTCTACAATGGCCGGACAATAGATGTAAGTCAGCTGGGATTACTGACTGTTTCAAGGAAGTGTTTCAATATATAAGAACGCACATTTATTTACCCAAGAAAGCGATCTCAATAAACATGCCGAGCTAATACATTTTCATACCTCTCGGAATAAAAAGTTGCCTCAGTGAGATATCCGATAATTACTTATTTAATATCCCAAACTTCCAGCGTTCCTTAGACGAACCCAACGCAGATAGCTAACCACTCTCAGATATGGGAGACTAAAAACCATAGTTGAGTCTAATACTGTGACAATGTATTAAACCCAATACAACAACGAAGCAATATGAAGAGAGAAAAAAGGATAATCTGAGGACTGAAATACGCAAGGAAATATATTTAACTTGGAACATATTTCACTCTACCGTTCGATAGTCTCTTCCTGAACTTACTGCGGTCCCCTCATGCGCATGGTGGGTTAATCTGGATCGTTCTCTGAACAGTTTGAGACACAGAAGGGTGTCTCTGTGTCGCCCTTTTGTGCGTCGTCGTGGGACGCTGAGCTCGAATATAGGGTAGCCGAGCTACTAGAAAATGGCCTTCCAGGACGCGTCCTACCAGATGTTAACAACAACACCAACCTCAGAACACTCTATGAGCTGTATAGACTGGGAGTGGTCCTGTGTGAGATTGGACGGTGGAACTTACTCGCTGATCTGAGGACGAAACCTAAGGACCGAAGCGGGTGGCGAGATTTCATGCTGAAAGGGCCCCTTGTCGATCTTGGGTGGAGGGTGGGGGATAAGTATCAAAGTGCCGTGAGATCATTTCTGGATTGCGAGCTCCCCGACGACGAGATCCCTCATGGTTTCTTTACAGGGCAGTTTTTAGAGGAGGTTATGAAACCGTTGAGTAGTTGCAGCGCTTGAGGGTTTTTGGGAAGTATGTATGTAACATTAAAGGTTGGATAAAAACACCGTATAGTTAATTAACTATCCAGAGATAATAGTTTTGTCACTTTTTCGATCTTATTGTATTTAACCTCGGAAATATTAAGACAAGTCAACTTCCGAGTTATACGTAGGTACCCGTCGTTGTTGATATTTAAGGGTTGCTAGCTAATAAGTTGTAAGAGTGACAGAAATGTGCTTCCTGGAGGTACGTACCTAAGGTACATATGTTCAAGTTACATGTGCCTATGACGGAAGACCCACTTAAATAATAGCTTTTTGCAACGGTGCAGAGGCGCATGGGACCTTTAACGTTAAACCATCCTAAAGCTCAGAAAGCCTTGTGCTACCTTACCTCATCTCCTACATACTATTCCAGGGAGCTCCAATATCAGCAACGCTACCACATTCCCGACTCGAGCTCGCTTCCGGCTCGAATTTTCCGACTTGGACAAACCTAACAATTTTCATAAGATCCCCTTAAACAACTATAATTTCCATCATGTCGCTCGATCCCCCTCCTTACCTCGGTTCGCTCCAAAACAACATCCGTCAGCGACCGGTTCCCTGGGATGGCGCAGCTAGAGCAGGCACTATCACCGAGGCCCAATTGGCCAAGATTAGAGCAGTCGATAAAGTGAAAAGAGAACAACGAAAACAAGTGGTCGAAGGCGATCTTGACGGTTACCGGATATTGTTTGTTGGAGGACCGGGTACGACAGGCGTTCTCGAGTCGGCAAGCAAACGTTCCGATGTTGTTCAATACATCTTGGTCTTATTGAGCGATCTGCTCGAAGGTGCGTACATTTCCCTCTGTATCACTAATCGCCAATCATCAATCAACACCTTACTCATGCAAACATACTCATGCTAACATTGTCTAGGCGTCCCAGCGCTCGCGAAAGCATTGTTTAGAGATCCGGACCCGTATCAACATCTCCTACCTCTTCTTGCGCACTCGAATAATTCCGAAGATCCCATCCCTCTGCTCACCTCTACCGTCCTTACTACTCTTATGGCTAACTCTAAAGACGAGTCTGCGTCGACGGAACACGCCTTACCTTTAATTCTAAGCTACCTCTGCGGTTTGGTAAAGAACTCGAATGATGCAGGATTACAAGATATTGCAGTCATGGAATACTCGTCTCTCCTTTACGGGCAATCATCCAGACAACTCTTCTGGAAGCAAAGAAGCGAGACAGTTTCTCCTTTAATCGAAATTCTTCGAAAAGCTGCGGGCGTTGGTGGAGAGTCTTCCGCTAGTCTATGGAGCGGCAACACTATGACCAGGAGCGGTGGTTTCGAGGGCATTAGCGGTGGAGTCGGGCTGCAGCTGCTATACCATGTCCTGCTGGTACTTTGGCAGCTAAGCTTCGAGGCAGAAGATATCGGTAACGACCTGGATGAGTACGAGGTCCCCTTTTGGAGTACAAACGATGGCAACTAACATATGCATAGCGAATACGACATCATTCTTTTATATACTCAGTTACTACGGCTCTCGCCAAAGGAGAAGACTACGCGCCTTCTTCTATCGACGCTGTATAACCTTCTCGAAGCTAATCCTTACACGCTTCTCCCTACGGCAGTTCTAGCGAGACTTCCCGCGCTACTTCAAAACTTTAGCGGCCGTCACCTTACAGACCCGGACTTGCAGGAGGACTTGGAAAAGCTAAAGGAGATGCTAGAAGAGTATCAGAAGACCAAGACCACATTCGACGAGTACGTCGCAGAGGTTCAGACTGGACATCTAAGATGGTCACCACCTCACCGCCATCAAGTCTTCTGGGCTGAGAACGCACGAAAGATTCTAGAGTTTGAAAACGGCGAAATTCCACGAAAATTGGCGGATATCATGAAGAAGCCATGGGAGAACGACAAGGCGGTACTGGCAATCGCTTGCAACGATGTCGGCTGTCTAGTCAAAGAAGTACCAGAGAAGAGATACCAATTAGAGAAACTGGGATTAAAGACTCGCATCATGGAGCTTATGCAGGATTCCGACGAGAATGTGCGATGGGAGAGCTTACGGGCTCTCGGCGGTTGGCTCAAGTACAGCTTCGAGAGCAACTGAGCAACTCAACCACCAGGTTCGGGGGCGTGGATATGATTATACTCCTTACTGTATTGTTTCGATAGTCATCGGTGTCGCGCCACAGGTGCGGGTGCAAAGACACGTCGTCTTACATAGTATATTGGGTAGGATAAAGACGTGATAGGCTGATTCGAGATAGTCTACCGGTAGGTAGTCAACAAACTTCAAACTTCAGACTTGAAACTTCAGAGTTCAAACCTCGACCTCAGCTTGAGAGTCGGTATCAAGATATGCTAGGCTGTGCGGGGGATACTAGGCCCTGCTCGGCTTCAATAACGGAGCTTTTGATATGAGTTGTCTTAAGTCATGAATAAGCTATCTTAGTAGGTTTCACCGCTATAACGTAATAGTACCTAGCTTAGCTTACCGGAGATGATATACAGACAGTATACGTCCGGTGCTCGGGGGTTCGGCTTAGCGGCAAGAAACGGCCAAAGATAGGGAGCTACCCCTCTTACCCGATTGAACCTTTTATGGGAATAATAAGTAGGTACCTAAGACCTACCTCATAGTAAGCCAGCAAGCCAGTAAAGCCTCGGGTTTATAACGATCCCGATAACGCTACCCTATGCCGACGGTAATAGGTACCCCACATCGATAACAAGTATGGTAGGTACCTAGGTAATAGCTGCACGGTTACAGCCATTCTGCCATGTACAATACATAAGGTACCTACCTAGGTACCTATTCAAATAACATACATATGTACCCCATCCCGAGCGTTGCCCCTTCCGGGGAACGAAACGTATGCATTGGTGCCAATGGCTAATTCTTATGCCCAAGAGCTTATGTAGAAAAGGGGTCTTGTTTTTTTCTTTTTATTGCTACGAGTTGATATTGCCTTAACTATGCACCGTCTCATACGCACACGAGGCATCGCTACCAACACCGGCCGTATCGCTACTCGTCGATTCTCCTCTTCTCTATCGTCGTCCCCCGCCACCGCCACCCTCAGAATGTCGTCAAGAGCGGCGACCTCCTCTCGTCTGGCCGTCATGGCTAAGCAGCTTCGTCCTATGAGCGCCTTGGCCTCGACGGCTACGAGCTACCCTACGACGCACGAGAAGATAGAGAAGCCAGAGGACACGCCCTATTTTGTAGACAACGAGTTCCGCCCTAGCCAGACAGACAAGTTCATCGAGCTGCATGATCCGGCTACGAATAACCTCGTCACTCGTGTCCCGCAACTTACAAATGCAGAGCTCCAGGCGGCTGTAGACAGTGCTCAGCGTGCGTTCCCCGAGTGGAAGGCTAAGAGCGTGCTTGCTCGCCAGCAGATCATGTTCAAGTATGTCAGCTTGATCCGCGAGAACTGGGACCGTCTTGCCGCGAGTATCACCCTCGAGCAAGGAAAGACATTCGTAGATGCTAGGGGTGACGTCCTGCGTGGTCTTCAGGTGGCGGAGGCCGCGTGTGGTGCCCCCGAATATCTCAAGGGCGAGGTGCTTGAGGTTGCTAAGGATATGGAGACGAGATCTTATAGGGAGCCGTTGGGTGTTGTTGCTGCCATTTGCCCTTTTAGTACGTACCAATATAATGTCGAATTGATCTTACATGGGTAGATTTTGCTAACAGCACTAAACTAACAGACTTCCCTGCTATGATCCCCTTATGGTGCATCCCGATTGCGACGGTCACCGGCAACACCGTGGTCCTAAAGCCTTCCGAGAGAGATCCTGGAGCGTCCATGATCTTGGTTGAGCTGGCAAAGGAGGCCGGCTTCCCCGAGGGTGTGGTGAACGTGGTCCACGGAGCTCACGACACCGTAAACTTTCTCCTAGATGCCCCGGAGATCAAGGCGATCAGCTTCGTCGGCGGAAACAAGGCCGGCGAGTACATCTTTAGCAGGGGATCCGCCAACGGCAAGAGAGTGCAGGCCAACCTAGGCGCCAAGAACCACGCCGCCGTCATGCCGGACTGCAACAAGAATCAGTTCCTCAACGCCATCGTCGGAGCTGCTTTCGGTGCCGCTGGTCAGCGGTGCATGGCTCTCAGCACGCTAGTTATGGTGGGCGAGACCAAGGAGTGGCTAACCGAACTGGCGGAGAGCGCCAAGAAACTCCAGGTCAACGGCGGTTTCGAAGAAGGTGCCGACTTGGGCCCCGTCATCACGCCGCAGAGCAAGGCGAGAATCGAAAGCCTTATCGCCAGCGCCGAAGAGGAGGGCGCTACGATCCTCCTAGATGGACGAGGCTTCAAGCCGGAGAAATACCCTAACGGAAACTGGGTCGGCCCCACCATCATCACAAATGTTACCAAGGACATGAAGTGCTACAAGGAAGAGATCTTCGGTCCGGTGCTAGTCTGCCTAAACGTAGACACGCTGGATGAGGCAATCGACCTAATCAACCAAAACGAATACGGCAACGGCACGGCTATCTTCACACGCTCAGGCGCGACGGCCGAGACGTTCCGGCGCAACATCGAGGCCGGCCAGGTCGGCATCAACGTCCCGATCCCGGTGCCATTACCTATGTTCTCATTTACCGGAAACAAGAAGAGTGTTGCCGGAGGGGGTGCGAGTACGTTCTACGGACGGCCGGGGGTTAACTTTTACACGCAGCAGAAGACAGTTACGGCGCTGTGGTCGAGCGCGGATGCTATTTCTAGGAAGGCGGATGTTGCTATGCCTACGCATAGTTGATAGGGGTAGGGGTATGGATTTGGAGGGTTATGGGCAAGCAGATAATCTGTATATAGCATTTGTTCATTTGCTTCAATGGGATGATGAGCATTAGTATGCGATACGATTTAAAGAGATCAAGTTATCGCGGAAGAGAGTAAGAGCTTTCGTACGGGCTCATGGATATTTTAGTTGGGTGAACGTGCAGGTAATCATCACTTCTCACGCTTGAAGTTATGAATATTAGTTATAAACTGTATAAACTGTATAACTGTATAACTGTATAAACCGGTTACCCAAGTCGGCGGTGCACCGGGAAATGTGGCAAGTCGTACCCGACCGCACCGCCTCCCGCACCGCCTCCCGCACCGCCTCCGCCCCCTTCCGCCCCCCTCCGCCGGATCTCGCCGGATCTCGCCGGAGTTAACCAAGACACTGACGTACTTGCGGTACCCATTGTATTCTCCTTCCCCTCCGATTCGTACATCAAACTTTACCTAGGTAGGTACATAACCATTGCGATGGAAACCAATCTTGCCTCTCAGCCTGAGAATCCCAGTTTAATTAAATATGGAAATGGCAATGAAAACGGCAACGGAGTTGATGTTAGCGTCGGCGTTAACGCCACATCCAAGGCCAAAGACCTAATCGACCTCCCCCTCGACATCTTCGTCATCATAGCCCAGTTCCTCGCCCCGCAAGACATCATCCTCAGCCGCCGCGTCAGCCGCGCCTGGCATGTCGCCTTCACGGACGCCATCGCGTGCCACCGCTTCATGACGTGCCACTTTCCGCGCTCGCGCGAGATGCGCAGCGCCGGGGACGGGGGCCGGAAAATAGACTGGGCGCGCGCGTTTGCCACGGTGGCGCGGCGGTATTTCCACCTGCGCGCCGCGAGGCCGCGGCTCGTCGAGAAAATCGACGTCGTGAGGGAGGGCTCGGCCGGGTTCCGCGGCGTCCCGTCTTGGGACCGGTGGTTGAGGTGGGATGACCATACCGCGCCGTTCCAGTACCCGGACACCACCTGGTCGGCCGATGGCGGGTTGCTGGTGTACCAGGAGGGGGCGTCGCGGCGCTGGGTGGCGTATGATCTCGAGACGAGGCGGCTGTTCGACGTCCCGTTCGATGCGAAGGGGAGGATTGTCCGCAGGCAGAGGCTTGGCGACGGGGTGCTGGTGTTTGAGTGGTGTCAGAGGTTTGCGGTGTACTCGCTGGATACGATGGAGATGGCGTATCGGCATTTTGCGACGGCGTTTGACGTCCGGCGACGGCGCGGGGGGGAGGATTCGGAGGAGAGCCGCGTGGGTGAATGGGATATCACGTTCCGCTGCGAGTGGAAGATTATTGCCCAAGACTTACCGCTGGACGACAACGACCGGTTCTTCTCGTCACATACGGCGACGCATTACGCGCTGTACCTGTGGCAACCAGACCGATCGTCGTGGCTCATCGACCCGCTCGAAGAGCTTGCGGTGTGGGATATTTCGCAGCCGTCGACGTACCGGCCATCGCTGGACATGGCCGAGGCCACCAAGCATATTCCCGACGGGCCCAGCCTCGTCAAGAAGTTCTCGCGGCGGGATCTCGAGTTCCTGGGCCTGCGCCAGCGATACACGCCGTCGATAAGGGAAGTGCGCCTCGACGAGGCGAACGTGTACGTGCACTCGGAGGAGCACCGGTGGCTGGCGGGCCAGCACGCCAGCCTGTCGCCGCCGCGGCACCACCAGGTGCGGTGCACGGGGATCCCGTTCTCGGGCGCCGCGGGGCCGCGGTGGTTCGACGAGTGCTGCGCCGACGGCGACGTGCACATGAGCTTCTGCCCGCGGGCGGGCTCGCTGGCGCGGATCCTGGGGCGCGCGCGCCTGTCGGGCGGCGAGGACGGGCAGCTGTGGCCCGGGTGGGCGCCGTGCTGGCGGCACGAGGAGTTTCCGTATCTGACGGTGAGCGACGCGGTGGACGCGGGCGCGGGGGTGAGGGTTGTGGCGCGGCAGTGCTTTATCATGGAGGCGCTGTCGAGTTTTGTCCTGCCCAAGATTAGCGTGCTGGAGGAGCTGGAGCAGGATGTACTGGCGGGGGTGGGGGAGGGAGAAGAAGCGGGAGGAGAAGGGGAAGGGGATGGGGATTTGGTGGCGGAGGTTAGGTTTCCGGATGAGATGTGGTGGGAGCTGATGGGAAAGGGGAAGATAGTGGGGGATGAGAGGTGGGTTGTTGGTGAGGATGGCGATGGGAGGGTTACCGTTGTGAGGTTCTGAGGCTTTGAGGATAGGGGTAATAAAGTAATAAGTTGTTGGCTGTTTGTTATCTTACGGTAGGTCAGAGTGTTTGTAAATTGCGTAAGGAATCTAATATATGTGCACAGCTGCGTAGGTGTTATTAGATTAATGGCATTGCTCGGTTTACCTATTTGGACTGAATATTATTCTTGGTATAGGGGGTATCTGTTAAATCAGGAGTAGAAGCCCCCTTTTATACCATTAACTATTAGTTATACCTTGGAACTTTCGAGCTGATACGCCTATAATGTAAAAGTGGTGAGACTGTACTGTATTTAACCGTTAAAACTTATGAAATATATGAGCAGTCATCAACGTGGATGTGATTTAATAAAGCTACCATAGTCACGAAGGCCAATGGCAAGTATTAAGGACATCTCTTCATATATATAGTAGTTAGTTGGTCATACAAACAATGCTATATTGTCCTTTATATTTATTGAGTTGCAAATCTAGCTTCGAGAAGTTGGTTATGGAGCGCTATCATCATACATCGTCGCTCATCAAACAATATTGGTATCATATAAATATATTCACATACTCAATATTGTCATATCTTCCGTAGCCCCTAAGCCTTTGAACCCGCCGCCGCAGCACCGCCTTCAACGCCAGCAGTTCCAGCACCAGCAGCCAGAGTCGACTTCTTAACGAGCTTCAGGCCCGCGAGAGCATACACAAGGCCTTCGACGCCGAGAATTACGACAAGCGTGACCAAAGCGCCGATGACGCCAGCAACGGGGAGCGAAATGCCGTTACCAGACGTGGTGGCTGCCGCGCCATCGCCGTTATCACTATCAGAATCGCCCGACGAAGACGCTGCGCTCGCGCAGATACCCGTCGTGTTCCCGCAGGCCTGGCACCACGCCGCCGTATCCCCGATGGCAAACTTGTTGATCTCGGCTGCGAAATCGGACCACGGGAGCGGGGACTGCTTCCGCCCGAACAGCGGGAACTCGCGGGGTGCGTGCTGGGCGGCAGAGCCGTTGGCCACCAGGAAGCGGACGGACACGTCGTCGATGCTGGGGTAGGAGGAGGAGGTGGTGGCGGCAGTGCTGGCGTTGGTGACGAGCTCGAAGACGATGGACGACGCGTAGTCGACGACGCCGGTGAAGTCGGCGGATATCTTGTCGAGCTGCGCGAGCCCGAAGAAGGACATGAAGGACGCGTAGGCGCCGAATTGGATGCCGACGGGGGTCTTGCTGCGGCTGGTCAGCGTGGCGTTGAGCTGCTGCAGGATCTGCGCGGCGAGCGTGGCGCCGGCGACGGCGCGGATCGGGTCGCTGCTGTTGTAGGCGAGGTTCCACTCGTGGGCGTCGGCGAGGGTCCTAAGCTCGAACAAGGCATCGTCGGTAAGCAGGTTCCCGGACGGGATGGTCTGGTTGTGGATGGTAGCCACGTTGACGAGGTCGAAGATGGTGTACGCGTTCTTGAAGTTGGCCTGGCTGGCGCTGAAGGTGCCGTTGATGACGGGCAGAAGGCCGCTGTAGAAGGGCCGGGTGCGGCCCAGCGTGCTGACGAACTCGGCCGACTGGAAGTAGTTGTTGGAGCTCACCATGGCGTTGCCGCAGCCGGAGCCGCCCTGCAGCCACTCGTTGTTCTCCGAGTTGGGGTTCGAGGAGGCGGTTGACGATACGCCGACGGGGATGTACTGGTATCCGCCGAGCGGGGCCTGGACCTCGGACTTGTTGGCCAATACGGACACTCCATAGTCGCCGGCGGGCGGGTACATGCCCTGGAGAAAAGCCAGGGCGGAGCTCTGGAGCACGGAGTCCGCGGGCGATACGACGCTTAGCTGCGCGGGCACGGCGACGTCGCTGCTCAAGCCGACGATAGGCGAGCTGGCGTCGGATGCGACGTATCTGCTGCGGTAGTAGCTGCCGGACTGGAAGACCTGGTCGGCGCCCAAGGCAGTCAAGTTGGTGGGCGCGAGACTCTTAGGTGTCCGGTCTCCGTGGCGGTGGAAGATGTAAACGCCGAGGACCGTCTCGCTCGCTGCGAGCGGCACAGTCGCCGACGAGAGCAGAAGCGTCTTTAACTGCATGGCGAACCCGTGCTGCGATTCACTGCCCTTGCTATAGTCTATATTCCCCAATAGATTGATAGACAGATAGATACCTAGGTAGGTAGGACTTCAAGCGCACCGAAATCACGAGAGCATCAACCCGACGAGCTTCGAAGAAGAGGAAGAAGAGGAAGAAGAGGAAGAAGAGGAAACAAAGCAAAGCAAAGCAAAGTAAAACCGGTGGGGAGAGTATTTGAACTTTCCTACAAGCAGCGAACAGCGAGCAGCGCGCAGCCCCGCTCCTCGCACCTCGCAAGGTTGTAGCTTAGGTAGGTATAGTAGAATATAATAGTATAGAATAAATCGCTAGCGACAGCCGCGTACGGGACGGCTAGACGACGATTCGTCGGCGGGTTTCCATTACGCTGCGAGTATTTATCTATCTATATATCTATCTATCTAAGTTACATATGTATATATGTATGTATGTACATAGTAGAGCGAAGAACCTCCACCTCCCACCAGCCGACCTGCCTAGTCCGGACATCGGCCCAGATTAGATCGAGTAGGTATCTCGTCGGAAGGGTTGCCAAGAGCGGATCTACCACCCGTCGGATTGGCCAATCATAGCTGGAGAGGGAGAATTTCTCGCATCTCCGCCGTAGGTCCGGGAGGGTCCGAAAGCTAGCACTTGCTTTCCTGTCACTGTCCCTTACTAACCTAGGTTAATATCTAAGATTCCGAATGGTGGATGTGGCAATGGTACGTACAATTTTATAGACATCAAAAGTATTATTAACAAGTTAAATGATGCTTAGTTGGTTTTATACTACCTTATTGTTCCTTGTAAGTCCAAAAGGACTCCTAGGAATAATTAATAGTGCATTTATCCAAAGACAAGTAAGTGTCCCTATACACATATCTATAGTTTAATAATATCATCAAGGTCAACTGTAAGTTCTATGAAGCTATCATGTCTTTCACTACATAGCCTACATCGAGCTACTTATATTTATAGATTCGGAAATTTTGAAAGCCTAACGCGTTTAGGGACTTTAGGGGAATGTCACATCCTTATAATTATATCATATAATACTAATATAGCATATTTATCTTAAACTCGTGAGTTTTCACTCAAGAACATGGTGTATTCTATACATTTTCATTCGTATCTCACGGCAACAGCGTCGAACTGTTTCAACCCCTATAGTTAAGTTGTCTCTAGCTAAGTTAGGGATGTATGATTTCTCCAAGCCCCTTTTACTCCCACATGGAGGCTCATAAAATTGCTTAATTACCTTCCAAGGATGAGCCGGCAATGATAGGCATTACAATAATCACTACTTATAAGCATATTTAAGTATAAACATAAGTATTTAAAGTCTCCTGGCCCTTATCAACTATCCTTACATTCTAATTAGTTCAACGTCGAGCAAGACAGCTATCTCGCGGTTTACAATCAACCTCCTTACATGAGATTACTAAAGCTAGATGCAGATATTAAGATAGCACAACTACCTATTTACTCGTAACCTTGACTATATTGTTTTACACATAACGGGAACATGTCAAACTGCCACCCTCATTATAGTTAAGGTATAAATAACATAATAACTAGTCGTAATTCAAAAGGAGTGACAATATAAACCAACACCACCAAAACTCAGAACCAACGCTTCCACCCCAACCTAACCGCCCACGCCTCCCCCAAACTCCACATCATATGACATTATCCCATGCATTACCTTAAATCCGTATCCAACACCTTCTCCCTATAGCCTCTCATCTATCCTCATCCTTAACCGCACCTCCCCGCTCAACGCTTAGCAATCCCGCAGGTCTTCAGACACTGCTCGACCCCCAGGGCAACATTCGTGCTAATGATGCCGCGGAACTTGTCGACGTCGGCGCCGTCGATGTGGTTGCCGGCCGCGGCGCGGATCGTGTCGTCCTCGAGGGCGAAGTAGGCCTGGGCCATGGTGTTGACGCCGAAGTCCTCGCTCGACAGGGGCGCGATGAACGTGACGTCGTCGCAGGTGGGGTTGAATTGCGTGTGGAGGGCGCCCATGTAGTAGGGGGTCGCCTCTGTAGCGGTGGGAGTTAGTGACCTCTATTCTAACAAGACGTCGGTGGGAAAGGGGGGTACGTACGCAGTTCCTCGATAGTGTTCATGATATCACGAGGCTTCTTGTCCGCGTTCTCGACGCCGTTCTCGACAACCATCTCCGACATCACCTTGCCCTTGGTCACGATGAGGAGCTCCGTGGCGCGGTTGTGCACGTGGGGCGTGTTGAAGCCGCAGGGGCCGAGGAAGCCGACGGCCATGCCGATGCCCGTGCCCGTCAGGGCCGGGAAGGCCTTGCGGGTGGCTAGGACGACCTCGCCGCCCTTGCCCGGGCCGAATTTCCGCGCTTTGTTGAAGTCGAACACGAAGTCAGAGTCGTCTTTGAGGATGTTGTTGACGGCATCGGCGCGGGTGTCCGAAAGCAGGATCTGCTGGACTTTGCTTAGGCCCGTTGGCGCGGCGGGACTTGCGGTGTTGGCTGCGGAGCCGGTGGGTGCTGGGGCATCGCCCGTAGCAGATGCAACGGCTTCTTCCGTATTGGAGCTAATTTGAGAATAGCTCAACGAGACGTGGTAGTGCGAGCTAGAAGAAGTCTCGTGAGGCGCCCAACCAGTCGCAGTTCCGTGAACGCTCGGGGTCGTATGAGAACCCGAGTCTGTCTTGGCCCAGTGCGATTCGTCGCGCCTGTGAGCCGGTGCGGCTGAGGCAATGGCGCAGAGAGCCAAGATGGCTGCGATGGTGTTGATCTTGAACATTATGATGGTATTGATATGAGCAAGACGATATAGTAGTTATGAGAATATTGGCTCCAGATGCTGATAATTAATTATTAAGTAAGATAGGAGGAATAGAGCCAAGGAAATAAGGAAAACAGAATAATAGGAAATGGAAAGTTTTCGGTCTGGTTTTATAGTCGATGGCGATGATAAGAAAACGCATCCATCGTGAAGTTTGCTCAAGTCTTTATATCCATCTCCTTTCAAAGTCACAACCAAACCTCAAGCGAGTAAACCAATAACATCTCTCGCGTATTATTAGACTTTAGCAGATGACAGCAGCCTCTCCCTTATGGAAGCTGGACGTTCCGCAAGGCGGAGCAGGACCGGCTTGCCAAGTTCCCGGGCCCGAGTCGACGGTAGGCTACCGGGAACGCACATGATTGGATGCGGCGGGAGGCGTAGCGGAAAAGACAAAAATACCAACGGCGCTAGCAAATGTTTGTAATATGTATGTAGGGACACGTGTGTAGGGCTGGGTATGACGTCTAACGAACCAATCGCGGACGAGATGTGCTTTGCGATTTGGTGCTTACTTTGGGTGTTAGCTGCGTTGGCTTGGCGGCGCTCTCAGACTCCGAAGATACGACGAGATAGCAGTTTTGATCGTATCGATGAAAGAGTAGATAATTAAAAACACTACGGCTTTATTTGAAGACGGTGGGTTAGGTTACATCCTAGAGAATAAGTTTTTAAATCTTTCAACTATAGGTATATTTCAACTCTCATTTCTTTGTTTCCTTCATGTTAGAATTTTAAAGGTAGTTACATCAAATTTTAAGCACATGTTAGTTGAAGTAAATCATGTGGTATGAAGCTCATCATCAAATCTATTAATATAATTGAACTTTGACAATTGGTAAAGCCTTAAACATTATGTGATCACAGCTGATCTGGGTTGATAAGACTTACTTAAGAGAGGTGGTTGAACTTTTTGAGATCTAACCTTGATAAGTACCTATTTCCGGTAAGAGGTTGATTGCATTTATTAACTAGCAATTAAACGAGAATCGACTTTGACTTTGAATTAGTTATAACTACCTAGATACCTACATAGGTACCTAGGTAGGTAATCAGATCAATTTGTTAGTTTAAGCATCCACAACTGTATAACGATACCGCTCTTTTGTATGAATACGGTCCCAGCGCCGCATCAAGCCCTAAACTGGAGATCAGCACCGACAATTATACTGCTCCATAGCGCTAACCTTTTGGAAGATAACGTTTAATTACTTTCCCACTGAAAATTGCACGTGCTTAAGATCTCACTACGGTTCTTTCAGATCTTGTCACAAAAATGTGTCAGCCCTTACCTTTGCTTGTAAAGAGCCGGTAGCGAGCTTACTTCTTTGCGGTTAGTGGAGTTAAACAACACCATGGTTCTGAGCAGTACTTGTATTATGTAGTTTGCATGTTGGAATGTTGGAATGTGAGATAAATGTTGAGGGTGAGAATGTTGCAGGTACTACGTGGTAGATAATATATTTAGTCGAGGGATTAAAATCCTGCCAGAGGATAATCCTCAATTTTTCCTCAATTTTGGTCAAGGAGATTGAATCTTCACGTGAGACCCATGTCGTAGCTGTACATATATTTCTTGCACGTTTCCTGCATGGATGCGCGTTGGACAAGGTTCACAGTTAACTACCAGGTAGAACTGGTAGATACCTACCTAGGTATCGTAGTAACGGTGTAGTAAGCCGCATGCTGGTTTTTTTTATTCCGCCAAATCCTAGCCGGGAGCATGTCGAGAGCTAATTTACGCAAGTAGACCAACGCACATTGCAGCGTTGCAATATGAAGATACTGGGTAGCGTCTTCGCGCCTTAACGCCTGTCCCTTGATTTGAGCCATACAGCTCCTAGATCACATCAAGACGCGTGCGTTGCGCGCCATGTTACATCCAGAAGAAATAAAAATGAATCAGTGCTGGCGCTCTACATAGTACGTGGACTCGCACTTTGAAGAACACGTAGGGACAAGTTTGGGTTTCCCTTGAGCCCTAGTCAGGAGCTGTTGATCTGTTGATCTATTCCAGAAAATGGCCCCATGTAGTTGCAACTAGTATCAGCATCGTTCGTTGGGACACTGGCACCATGGTCCATATCATTTCGTAAACGCCTCCGAATTTCTGGCGACTTCTGTCGATCAAATCGCGCACCGTCTTTTCGCGCGTTGGTGCCTGCATTAGTGTACGGCCCGTTAGGTTGAGAGGATTGGTAGAATTGGTAGGTGATCTTGGGGAAAAAATTGAAAGAATGGGAAATTCAACAGAGCGTTTTCCGGTAGTTGCATGCGTTGCATGCGTTGCACGCCCTCCACCCATCCAGATTTGGGAAGTGGATCCGTACCTGCATTTAGTTCATTTCTCCTAGTGGCCTGTCATTGGCTAGCTTTTCAAGAAATTTCAATAAGCTTCGGGGGTACCGGCCAATGGTAGCGGTGGTAGATTGCGCTACTCGCTAGATACTCGCTAGCAAAAGCCCCTAGAGAGGGCTAGAGAGAGCCCTGCCTGCCCAATGCGCTCCGTCTCCTGTTTTCCTCTCTTCACCCCCCCCCCCCCCGTCCGCCCCGTTTGCCCGTCTCCGCTGTCTCTCCTTCTCCTTTGCTGGAGTCGTCCTTCTCCGTCTTTTTGTGCATCGCGGCCCAAGTCACTCCTTATTTGGCTTCTACTTCGCTCGTTCTCTCTTTTTCTTGTTTATTGTCGGTCATTATCGTGGAGATTTGTCTCCCTGTCACTCTTTTGAAGTAAATCCAAACGTTCGTTCAAGACTCACGAAGTCTTATCAATCGCAAAACCCGGTTTTTTTTTTGCGCATCCCGCGACCAGACTTAAGGATAATACCAATCGATCGTCGTCTTGATTGTTGATCTCATTGTTGATCAGTCGCTGCGCTAGTATCGGGGCATCTGCCTTTAGCTTCGCTAATTCGGAGCATATACTTGTTTGACACGAAAATCATTACTAGGAGCCATGAAGATCACAACGATACAAGCCGCCGTTGGGTCGGCAGTATTCCTCTTGAATGCTCAACAATGCGCTGCCACCGCTCAGCATCGCCATCACCATCTGCACTTAGAGAAGAAGCATGGTCACACTCACAGTCATAGCCATGTTGGCATTCAAAATGCCTACAACCCAAAGTACAGCCAACGAAACAGTTCCGCGCTCGTGTCGCGAGATGGCAAGAAGAAGTGCCCATTCCCAGAAGATAAGGGTCTATTTGCTGTCACTCCGTCTGAGATGAACGGTGGCTGGGCCCTGGCCCCCGATCAAGAGTGCGTCTCCGGCACTTGGTGCCCTATCGCTTGCCCTCCTGGCAAAGTTATGGCGCAATGGAAGCCGGGCACACATTACGCTTACCCCGAATCAACTGTGAGTATTTATTCTCCTAGAGTCTCGTTGTGAGAACTGGCTAACTTGCCGTAGTATGGTGGTGTTTATTGCAATGATGATGGTGAAATTGAGGTTCCTTTTAAGAACAAGGCATGGTGCGTTGATGGTACTGGTGCGGTAGAAGCTGTGAACAAAGCTGGAAAGGTTGTTTCTTTCTGCCAGACCTGTCTCCCGGGCTACGAAGATATGATAATTCCTACCGATGTCATGGATACCGCTACTCTAGCTGTTCCGGACATGTCTTATTGGGACTCGACCGCAGCTCAGTAAGTGTTGCCTCCATTACGTTGATATTTTTTCTTCTTTTTAGCTAACATACCTAGTTACTATATCAATGCCCCCGGTGTTAGTGCCGATGAAGGATGCCACTGGGGCGACGAATCGAAACCCATTGGCAATTGGTCTCCGTATGTTGCCGGAGCGAATACCGTCGGAGACGGAGAGACATTTGTCAAACTCGGAATAAATCCGGTGTGGCAAGACTCCGCACTTTTTGATACGAAACCAAACTTTGGTCTCAGAGTGGAATGCCCGGAAGGAGGCTGCAACGGAGCAAAATGCGAAGTTGACGGGTCCGGTGTTCGAAGTGATAACAAAGCATCTGGCGCTGGTGGCTCGGATTTCTGCGTCGTAACAGTACCTAAGGGCACTAAAGCTAACATCGTTGTTTTTAACCTGGACGGCTCAGAAGGGGACGCTGAACCATCAAGCTCTTCTTCGCAAGCTTCGTCTTCGTCCGAGCCCAGCTCCACTCAGGCTTCTACCACATCGAGCACTTCTACATCTAGCTCTGCGCCGCCGACATCGACATCGACGTCAACTTCGACTTCTTCAACTTCTTCGACAGTCAGTTCCACGTCAACCTCTTCTTCATCATCATCATCATCATCATCATCATCGTCATCAAGTTCGTCGGTAATTAGCACGTCGACAAGCAGTAGCTTCGTTACTAGCAGTCATGCGACAACTTCAAGCCAGGCAAGCAGCACAAGCGCATCGGCATACATAGCTGGTGTCTTCCAGGAAAATACAACATCGGTTACTAGCTTTACCCGAAGCCCGCCTTCCTCAACTCCCGTTCCCATTCCCACCGATGGAGGAGACGTTTCGGGTGATTCAAACAAGAATGAAGGCGCAGGCCAGCGACAAGGCGGTGCTGCCTTTGCAGGCCTGATTGTTGCTTTTGTGGCTGCTACTTACCTACTTTGAACTAATTAACCTAGGCGGTTAAGCACGTTGGATACGACACGAATCTTTTTTTTTTCATTTCGCCTATATATCTTGACCAGTACTTAACAGCTTTGACGTTTCTACCCTAGCCAGGGCATTATTGGTCATCGTTGCGATGCGGACTCCGTATCGCTACCGGAATTGTCGATATATCCTACCATATCGGTACAACTATATACGCACTTATTTCCGTACATTTTACAGCTCCGGTCTTTGACTGGAGCTAATTTTATATCACGAATCATCTATTCAGTAGTGTTTATTATTTATCTCTTAACTGATCATCTCAAGTCGTTTCTTGGATATCGTTCTTGAGCTACACACTTTTTTCCCTTCTCACTATACCCCATTT